TACAATAAAGACACAAAATGCACCTGCTGCACAAGCCAGCCATGAGCCGGGCTTGTGTGCAGAAAAAAGAAAAACGTAACCTTTCCAGCGGAGTCTAGACAGTCATTTGATTACCTGAGATGGAGCACCAAAATGCCACTAGATTATATAGCAGGTTTTTCTCAAGAAGGCCTGCTCTTTTTGCTTAAGCAACTCGTTAAAGGACGGAAGGAGCTGAGTGGTTCTGTGAGTTATTGCTAACTCTTTATAATGAATAAATAATATGTATGTTATATACGTTGCATAAATAAATAAGTAAACAGAGGTAAAAGAGTGAAGTCATGTAAGCGCAATAAGGGGCAAAAGGTGTGTGGTTTGTGTTTGTCATGAGCTGTTAGATAACATCATGTTAACATTAGCATTGTTAGCATGTTCCACTTGAACAGTTTCAGAATTCACTCGTCTTCAGGTGTTTCATATGTACAGGGAAAACCACAAACGTTTGGGCTGTGAATAAGACTCTGGCTGCATGTATACATTTTGTGGGAAAAGCTCAAGTGCTGTTTGAGTGTACTGTTTAAATCTACCCAAAGGAAAATACTAGCTTGAAATGTACAGTGATTAAGTACTGTAGAAAGTCATGCTCAGCCCAGGAGCCAGTATCTTTCACTATTCTGCCCATACTATATACTATCACACTATATACTTCCGGTACATATACTAGCTAAATCTAAGTTCCATATTTTCCATCCTCAGAAGAACTTCCTCTTCACATTAAGCTTATCCTTGTTTTTCAGAATGTATACATGCAACCAGGGCCTAAACTCATTCACCAGTTTGAAAATAACACCACATTACACATACTCTTTCATATCAAGTACAGTGAGCACAAGACTGAACTTGAATTGAATGTGCCTTCCCTATTTTTGCAGAAGACCTTAAATTCACATCCCCTCCGACACTCGAGCCTACAGGACCGGCTCCTCCTCCGCGGCTAGGCGACGACTCTCTAGAGCCCCCCACCCTGAAGCCCATCACACGAGAGCCCCCGCTGTCCCCGAGCTGGGCCTGTAAGCGCCTCAGGATGGACACTGACCTCCCCAATGACCCCACGGACTCCTCACAGGACAATGTTTGCACTAAAGCACAAGAGCGCCCCCAACCCCTCCCCCCACATTACGTAATGAGACAGTGACCAACGGGCTACCCTCTCTGACCACCTCTCCTCGGCCCACCACAGGGGGAGTGGGCCGGCGCACCTCTGTTTTGTTCAAAAAGGCCAAGAACGGAGCCAAGCTGTTCAGAGAGCGAGACAATCCTTTGCTGAATGGTAAAGGACCACAGGAAGAGAACTCCACCCCCAACTCGGCAGCCAGCACTCCGTCTGCCACGCCCCTAGCCACGCCTCAAACCACACCCCTAACCACACCCCTGTCCACGCCTCAGAAGAGCCCGGGACCCCCCAGCCTCAGCACTCCTGACCCAAAGAGCCATAAAGATCAGAGCAGCGACAAGGAGCAGGAGAAGATCCTCAACCACACGCAAGACACTGGTAATTACCCAACTTGATTTAGTTGTGTGCTCATTCATCTCTATCATTTGTGGATCCTTCTCCTTGATATAAAATCTAGGTCTTAGAATGTGATGAAATTCTGTTAATGATACTGTACGTTTTTGAACCCTCTCCAATGAGGTTAAATATTCTTTTTATGTAGAGCTGTATCAGCATTTGCTTCTCACATGAAAGTGGTTTGCTGCAGTCTCGGAAATTGTCCATAAACTCATCACTTCCCCACCAGAATGCTCACACAGCAGAGGCTGCACCATGTTTGCATTAGGCAAATGGAGCGTTTGCATAAACTGATAGTCCACATAGTCTGACATTTGGTTTTATTCAAATATTGGAAACCAAGATTTTTTTATTGAAAAGGTTGCATTGGCATTTCCTTACTTTTTAGCATTACATCATGTGTTTGTTTACTTTAAGAACTGACCAACGGCTTCAGCAAACTAAAAGAAGACAAGTCTGACTCTGAAGACTGCCCATGTCCTGTGCTTCAAAAGGAAATGTAAGTGCCTCTGTCTGCAGTGTTTTATATGGCCTACTTATTGAATGGTTTGTTATACATGTGTACATGTTTGTTTCTGACATGCAGTGCATCTCCACCAAAGCGAAGTCTGGGAAAACCTGCTCTCTCCAAAGTCCCTTTACTGGAGATTGTCAATGGAGATTCAGACTACACTGGTGCGTCTTTTTACTCTAGCAGTTTTAATTAAAAGTGGACATATCATGTATTATTTTGATCTCTTTTGGTTTTTAAATATGCTTTTCGTCACCTTGTCACAGAATGAAATAAATTCATTTCATGTGTAAAGAAAAATGTGTAGAGAAAAGGATGCCAACATGCTTAAAAACACTTAAAAGCAGTAGACTAGCACTAGAGCTCCATCTGGGGACTGTAATATGTATGACCCATGTGAAAACCAATGGGCTTTCATTTGTAGTGAGTAAATGCAATTTGAGTGCAGTGTCTGGTGATGGTTTATGAGCAGGACACTTCCTGATCTATTTTCTATGTAATAATTAATCTCCTTTAAATATATACGAAAGTGTGTCATTATTTTTTCAGGTAATGGCAGTCAGACATCAGATGATGAGACCGAACTGGAGCCCTTGGATCTGGTATGGGCCAAGTCTCGAGGATACCCTTCCTACCCTGCCCTGGTAATGACAAGGACTCTTAAACCTATACACTGCACTATTAATTAAGCTGTGTATTTAGGAATTTTGGCAATTGGACTGATTGATATACTAGATTCACTTGTTATTACCTCAGATTCTCTAAGAGCAGTAGCGTGTGCAAATGGGTTAAAATGTCTCTCCTCTGATTGCTTGTGCCTGCTGCAGATCATTGATCCAGAGATTCCGGAGGAGGGCCTGCTGCACAACGGAGTGCCCATCCCTGTCCCACCAAAAGAGGTGCTGAAGCTCGGCGAGCAGAGGCAGGAGGAGACCGACCAACGCCTTTACCTGGTGCTTTTCTTTGACAACAAGAGGACATGGTGAGTGTTAACACCAGCTCTATTACGTCATCTGTCAATGGGTTGGGTACTGTAAAAATTTTTATTGTTATGAATCCACTCTGTAAAAAAACAAAAAAAAAACCCACACACATTCTGGGATAAACGATAATATTGAAACTACTTTATGCCACTGACCGTATAATTGAAATGCCTGAGCTGCAACAAATAAATGTCAGAATGAACTAATTATTCATAGATTATCTTATTGTATAACATAAAAATTGCAAAATCTCCTCACTATTGCAAAATAAGTACCAATTATAAATATTGATCTCCAAAATATATTGTTCCAGCTTTCATATATTGAACGTTAAGTCAATATTGTAATTATCGTGAAAGGAGATGTGGTGCAGTTGTTGCTATAGGCTCATATAAATCACTAACACTGCAGCAACACAGTGCATATTATCCATGTGTTACAATAATAATGACACTTGTTCTCCCTCGTATCTCCAGGCAGTGGCTCCCTCGGGACAAGGTGACTCCTCTGGGCATAGATGACACCGCCGACAAACTGCGCATGATGGAGGCGCGCAAATCCAGTATTCGCAAGTCTGTTCAAGTGGCCTACGACCGCGCCATGATCCACCAGAGCAGAGTCAGCCACAGCCAGGGCTTTGTGGCCCCCAGCTACCTGTAGGGGGCATCACTCTCTCACTATGCATTTCCACTGAACTCCTCGGGGTGGACTGGCCTGTTCTTTTTTTTTTTTTTTTTTAAACAAACCACTAGTGTCTGGCACAGGACTGACGCAGCCTTCACACTCAGAAGGACAAGCTCTCAATGAAATCAAGCTCCCTTTATTTCCTGCAGTCAATAAATGTTATGAGTTTAATTTTATACAAAGCGACTGCTATGAAATCAAGTGTCACAAAAGAGATTTATATGAGACTAATGAATGGATCACTGCCATCTTTTATACAATAGCTTTTTACTTTTTAAACTTTTACAGAAACCCTTGTATATTCTAGCTGCGTGTACATAATGTTAAGTGTATTGTCATAGCAAATTTTAAATTAATGTTGTTTTTAAAATTGCGTATTTCAATCAAGCCTCGAGGCAAAGGAGGTGTGTATATTTGTGGAGGTAAAATAATTCCTGACTTGCTGCATTGATGTATTTTAGCTGGTATTTGATGTACTAACATTGTGCTGAGTGTAAAGTATAGCACACAATGTTCTTTATATTTGAATTCTCTTTTGATACAGAGAGAAATAATTTATTTATGGAGAGACAGAATTATAGAAATAAAGCTATATTGGTTTAAATGGAGAATGAAATCTTATTTAAGAAGCAAAAGCCAACACACAAGTCCTCTTGTGTCTTCACTGTCAAAGCCCAAGAGTTTTATTTATTGTCCGACCTAACTGCAGAAGACTGTTTTATCTGATGGACACATTGATAAGCTTGTACTTGCGTATTTACGTACTCACCAAATGCCCAATTTCAACCAGTATTTCCTCATTGCAGGAAATCAATAAACTCAATGCAATTATAACAATATTTTGTATTTCATGTTTTATTTTTTTTCTTTCACTCACTTAGTAATATGACCAGAATAACTTTTTTTTTTTTTTTTTTTTTTAACAGAGGAAAGTGTTTTCTGGATCCCAGTAAAACTAACTACTAATTGCTCTAGCCCAGGAGTCACCTACAGGGTGCCCGCAGGCATGTGGTTGTCCTGGGAGATGTCACAGCAAAGCACGTGGGTCAATGTGTTTAAAACGTTACAATTTATTGCATTGTATTTAAATACTGATATTTTGTGGCTAGTCTTGAGGTAGCAGGTGTTTCCCATGTCTTTTGTGAATACTATATTAGAAAATAGTGTAGATTAGCATTTTTAATGATAAAGGCTGTAACACATAGGTCTCCACATCATACAAAAATACATTAGGATAAAGTATAACAGAAAAAGTCCATGAGCATTGTAAATGCTATAAGTGACAATGGGCTGCGCCTGTCAGTCCACTCTGTTGTCTCAAAATGAGGTAGTTGTGTCTAAGAGTGCGCAGCTCCGTCAATCTGCCCAACAACCGCCCAAAACGCTGTGGCCCCCCTCGTGCAGCTCCGCCATGGGACCCACAGACCCTGGACAGCAGATCCAGCACAAACTCCTGCATGCTCTCCACACAGTCTGCAGCCTGTGGGGACGCCCGGTCTGTAAAACCACGACACAGTCAACACCACGCACTCATGTTGCAATGGGCCTTAACTGTGGCCTGTATAATATATTCATTCAGAAGGTTTATCTAATGAGTAAGTCCTTACAGTGTGACAGTGTGGGAGTATGCTAAAATGTAAGATCATATTAAAAAACCTGAGCAGAGTAGTGCTGTAGCAGTGAGTAGGGCATATTCGGCTTCTGAAAGCTGCAGCGCCACCATGCTGTGAAAGAACGTCAATACAGGCTCTAGCAGGTCCTCACAGACTTCTGAAATACACATATATATATATATATATATATATATATATATATATATATATATATATTCTTAAAAAATAATAAATGTCAGTATATTCAGAATATCAGGTTAGATCAGGGCAGTGAGTCTAACCTGAGCTGGTGAGTGTCCTGTTACGGAGGCTCTCCTTTGAATTTCTGTGCCACTTGTGCGACCACATGTTGAACAAGTGCAGACCTAAAGACAAGGAGGGATTGTAAGTTTGTTTTTTGTTTTTTTCATCTTTTATCTTAATTTTTTAAAGTATTATTATTTATAAGTATTCAATGCAAAAAAAGTAGCTGATTAAACAATTTTAATATGAATAATGTGTGGTTACTTGAATGTGCTGTTTTAATCTGTAGTGTATTGCATGCACAGTTACATGTGCTGTATGTCTTTGTAACAGATGGTTCTGGCTGTAGCTGCTGAATATTCAGTTCTGTAGACTGGACAAAAGTTTTTGACTGAAGACATTTCACAGTTCATCCAACCTGTTTCTTCAGTTCTGGTCAGATCGCTGGTGGACACTGCCTTATATCTCCCTTCAGGCAGGTGTCCACCAGCAAAACGTCTTAAATCAAAAACCTTAGTCCAGTTGCTCTTTGCTATGGATGCTACTTGGACGACTGAGGGATCACACAGATATAGATGTGGAGACATGTGTACCTGAGGGGGAGGTGTTGGGGCAGTGGGAGAACTGCTGTGCTGAGAGCAGAAACAGCACTTCTACAGAAGAGGCAGACAAGAGTGAAGTCTGCTCTGAGGGGTCCAGAAGGTCAAAGCCTGGAGCACACAGGCATAATGAGAAGAACTGGGAGAACATTACTTTGCCTCCTCATAGAATCATCATCAGGGGGGATGTGTCGTTACCTGGTATGGTCCTAGCATACTGCAACAGTCTGTGCAGCTGAGGCACATCAGACACAACTTCCTCCTCTGTGTACGACCACTCGTACATCTGACCACAAATATATGATTGAATTGTTTTAACAAAGATTATTCATACACAGTGGTGGAGAAAAAAGTTGAAATTTGAAAGTCAAGTACAGTAAAATATACCTAGATTTTTTACTTAAGTTGATTTTAAAGTGGATATTCTTTACTTTTAATTCACAACATTTGAGAGAAGGTTTTTGTATTTTCTACTTCACTTCATTTCTGAACCAGACTGAAAAGTAAAAGTATTTTTTATTAATGTGTGAAACCTGCTGAAAAGCCTGAGGGGTTTATTTTGAACATGTTCATAGTTAAAGCAAATAAAATATACAAATAAAAACAATCTTTATCAAAATCACTACATTTGAAGCTTTATTAGATCTCAAATTATGCCCAAAATACTTGAACTTTTATTCTTTAAGTACATTTTTTAAATGTTTTTTTAATACTTTTTTTTTTTTTTAGATATATTCATGTAATCCTTTTACTTGTACTGAGTATTTTTGCTCTAGTATCTGTACTTTTACTTAAGTAACAAAATTGAGTATGTCTTCCACCACTGTTGATACCCTGAATTAGTATCATACTCTGTCAAAGCTGCAGTCTTGAGTTCTGAACAGTCTGTGGGCCTCCTCCATCCTGTCCACCATGTACTTTTGCTCTCCAGTTAGACCAGGAGACCGCACCTGAAAATCAATATGAGTTTTAATGCAGTCCTGTATAAACTTCTTGAGCTGAGTTTGCTTATCTGCTCCATACATGTGGGTGCTGTTTGCTGGTGGAGCTGACCCTTTGTTTTCCATCAGGACAGTCCTCCTCCTGGGACCTGCCTCTGCCTCCTTTCCTCAGGCGTTTGGACTGACACTGCACCTCTGTCAGCAGACCTGGAACACACACCTCATAATGGGCTCACCTGATCTGCTCTCCTGGGGTTACTGTTAGCATAAACAGTTGTGCTTAAATCATAGACTGCATTTATAAATCATCTTAGCTAAAGAAGTGAGCATGTGGGTGCTTCCGGCTCCATTGACTCTGTCTCCAATTCACTTTACATGTAAAAATTGTTACTACTCTCTTATCATTTTGGTCTTAAAATGTTTGTATTAACCTGCTCTATGTGATTCTGATGTTATTATTTTGCTGTTTTGTGTGTAAATAAATTCCTACTGCTAATACAATGGTACAATGGATGTAACAATATCCAAGTCTCACGATACGATATTGTCATGGTATGAACCTCACAGTATGATATTTATTGTGATATCGTGGGAAAGCTCATGATATGGTGGGAAGGCTCACGATTAGGGATGTAACAATTCCCAAATATCTCGGTACAATACTTTCACGATGTACATCTCATTGTCCGATATTTATTGCAATATTTTGTGGAGGCTTCCAAAACTGTTAATATGATACTTTTTCCATCTTAAAATTGACAAGACTTAATCCAAAGAACTAAGACTTAAAAGTGTCTAGAATTGTTATTTCTTGGAGTCTACACTTTAACTGAGCAAAGGATCATGGTCTATGTAGTTCCCTTTGTCTTTTTTTTTTTTTTTTAGCTATTGCTGCACCATAACTCTTAATTTAAGCAAAGAGGCCACGATATTATTGTGACACTTTTGAAGATATCACCATATTTTGGTTATTGTTACATCCCTACTCATACCTACATATCATGAGCTTCATTTGACTGGAGTCGAAGGTTATGGGGATGTCACACTGCCTTAGTCCACTGCTTTACACAGTCTATGTCTTACATTCAGCGAGCATGCCCACAGCCCTGCATTTGCGTAGTCGACAGTCCTGGCACTTCCTCCTCATGTACATGTCCATCTCACAGCTGCCCCCGCTCTTGCACTGGTACACCGCCTTCTTAGTCACACTGCGGCGAAAGAAACCTGGACAAAAATGAAATAAGTAATTAATATACATGAAGTCAAGCTCTGATATGTGATGTGCAGTGATCATTTATTTGATAATGTGGTTTTAACCTGGCTAATTAGATTTGATCTACTGGTAAGTCTGGAAATCTCACCCTCTACTTCACCTTTTGATCAGGAACATCAGCGTTTTGTTTATGTGATGCCTGATATTGATAGCTGTAATACATATGGGAGGCTCTATGCAGGCCTCGTGACGTAAAACCATTTCCCAGAAGTGTGACCAGCTCGTTTTTTGAGTATGATAGACCAGGAAATTATATCATTGACTGATCCTTGATTTGAATTTTCATCCATTGTAAAACACACAGAGATTGGAACAGTTATATCTGACAACATATTTCAGCCATCACCATGAATGCCAGTACACTAAAAAAGTCTTGTGCTACCCTGTTCTCATTCCTTCACTAAATACTTGATGTTAGTACGCTACTGCTACATCCAGAGCCACTTGATCCAGTGTGTGCGGTGAGTACAGGATCCTCAAATGGTCCTTTCTCCTGCGTCACCTCCGAGCCCGTCCTGACGGTGAGTCCTGATTCAATCCTGGTTTAGTCCTGGTTTAGTCCTAGTTCAGTCGTGGATTAGTCCTCCTCTTCAGTCCTGGAATCAGTTCTGGGTTAGTCCTGGTTTAGTCTTGGTTCAGTCTCGGGTTAACGGGCGGGTGCGGTGTTGTACTGCGCGGGTGCGGTGTTGTACTAGGGGTCTCCAAAAATGGACCCGTGCGGGACTCTGCGCTGTAGGACTCTATTATGGAATAAATGAATCTTCAGTTTGTTACATAAAGGAGGAAAATAACAAGGACGACAGCAGCAACAAGTTTTAAGAAGGAAGTAAAAAGGGTTGGTCCTGTGTGAGAAAAGTGTATAAAGTGTGTGCTGAGGGGTTTTACAGCCTTAAAACGGATATTATAATTGTAAAATATAAAGTTGATACTTCGTGGATTTCACCTATCGCCTGTTATATTTACAACGGAACCCCCGCGATAAATGAGGGACACTGTCCTCTCACCTCACATGTTACCAACAGAGATCACATGTACAAACTACGGCATGTTCTCTCATCTGGCGAAACAGTGTCTCTTTTCAAACCAAACCTGCGCCCATAATGTGGACTGAGGAGTGTCTGGAGAGAGTGTGATGTTCAGGAGTGAATGAATTGAATGATGTTTTTGAAAATAATGATGTTTTTAAGGTGCTGAGAGAACTGGGTGTGAATGATGATACAGGATTGTTATGATGCTTCGGTCATTATAAACACATTCTCTTTGTTTGTTTGATAATTTATGAACTGTAACATCAACCTGCCCAGGGACTAGAGGTGGAAATTAGCAGTGGCGCTACAACCTGGTACAAAGCATCTCTCCTGTTAAGGTTAATGTAGATTGTGCACTGTCCCTGTCTCATTCAATAAATAAACTAAACTTAACTAAACTATTGTAACTACAGCTGCACTGGGGCAAAATGATGGAAGCGAAGCTGCCAATCTACAGCATCTGTATCTCTGACCACCAGCACTCTCTTACACAAACACCACATGCCACATCCAAGAACAGAACAACATCCAAGAAAAAGTGTGACAGTCTCTAAACTGTGAGTGAGATGAGGGACCACATGGCGATGCTGGAAAGCCAAAATATACAGTATGTCATTATATATCGAGCTGTTTTAAAGTGTCATTTATAAGCCCTGATGAGCTCATGTTTGTGCAGCTTTTTAATCACCCCAGTCACTCCTTGTCTTTTTGGCCATGTGTGTTTCTGTTGAACTGAACTGGAAGAATTCAAACTGATCTTGTTGTTACATGTAGATTGTACCTTTACATCCTTCGCAGGTGAGAGCGTTGTAGTGGTAGCCCGATGCTTTGTCTCCACACACCACACACAGCTCCTCCTGATCCCTCCTCCTCCCTCCTGAACCCATCCTCATCCTGCGTCCATGAAGAAGCCCTGGGGCCCCCAGCTCCTGCGCGCTGCCCTTGTAGTGAGGCCCTGGGCTGGGGTCGAAGGTCGCCTCCGCATAAGGGGGGCTGTAGTGGTGCAGAGGAGGGCAGGTCAGAGAAGAGGGCGATGAGGGGGAGGGAGAAGAGGAGGAGGGAGGGGAGTACACGCAGTAGCCCGAGCTGTACTGCTGCTGTGGGCTGTACGGGAGCAGCTGGAGGTCAGGGTCCTGGAGAGGGTGGTACACAGGGTCAGCCAGCATGTCTGAAACAGAGAGGCAGAAGACAAAAGCTGTGAGGTTAAAGCACAAAATGTAGAAAATGAAAAATGACTTCCACCCTGCTAGCAGAAGATATTCAACTATTACTGAATGACATGGTTTATATAAGATCAGTGTAATTTAGTATGCAACATGGGAAGGTGCAGTTAGTTTACTGATTGATTTTAATTGATTTTCTATATTCATTGTCATTTCATTATTGATCTTATTTGATTTGACTGGCTTTTTTTTTTTTTTTTTTTAGAACCAGTGAGATTAAGCAACCAAAAAATGTGTGTTTATAAATTGTGCTATACAAATAAAACCCACTCGATAAAGAGAATTATAGAATTTAAAGCTGTTCTTAAAATAGCTCTAAGTAAATAAGTAGTGGTTTGTTCACCTTACCTCAAGTCTTCAGACATCTAATTTCCGTATTTTACCACAAGAATCGTTGATTATTAAGAATTTTTATATTTAGGCAATTTTATGTAAAGCCTAACATGTCCACAACAGGGAAGAGTGTATTCTGGTAGTCTGCTATTAAACCCGCTGCTGTAAACCACTGAAACTGTTGTAATAATGTGAAAAATGTCAGATCACCAATTGCGGAAATGCAAACCACCAGAAGTACAAGTTTACTATTTTGATGACTGGGGAAAAGGAAGCTTATGAGAGAATAGAAACTTTTTTAAAATACATTTTCCATTGTGACTGCTGTGCTCTAATGTGTTCAAAATGTACTTACTTTGCATCTCATAGGAAATACAGCAGTGTAGAGAACCAGTGTGAACCAATTGTGTATTTTAGGGCAAGCGGCCATCATCATGTATGAGGTAGGTCAATAGTGAAAACTTGTTTAGAAATAAGTGAATAAATATAAAAATTCCCTCATTTCTTTGCTCGTGTGTAGTTTTATTTGGACAATCACTACTTAATATGTGAATAAACATTTGTAGAGTGGAATGTGACTTGTATGACACAACTGGGCTCCGTGGGGACAAGTCCTATTTGGAAGATTTGATGTTTCAGACATAGAGAACAGGATGCAGCTGACAAAAACACTGATGGTTAGCAGCCAAATTTATATTAAAAATAGTAAAAAACTGTTGTTTTTAAGAATATTAAAGGGCATATGACAGGATGGACTACTCATTTCACAAAAAAACAACTAAGATAATTATGTTTCAGATTTTCCTTTTTTTTTTTTCTAGTTTGGCAATACTTTAAGTTTCAGATTTTACATCTTGGTATTACATGGTTACCTAGCAACCATGCTATGAAGTATGCCAAAACTCCTCTAATGGACATATAAATTATTGTTTGACAAATGTAAGAAAACACCTTTATTTTGTTGAAATAATGTTTAAAATATTAGGGGGAAAAAATCGTTTTTTAAATGTAAATTGTGCTAAACTTTTGGACCATATTCTCTCTAGTGTGATGTCATCATGGGACTCTATAAAAAACAACTCTCTACTTCCTGTAATTTTCAACATACTTTTCAGCTTTTTTCACACATTGCTTCATTTATGTTCACCAGATGTTATCCCACCAAATTGTAAAAGTGAATGAATAGTAGCTCTTCTACAGCAGTGGTCAGAAAATACCATTACGTCGTTAACTGTATTTTATTACTTCTATTAATAGAAAGTTGTTTTTAAACCTTTAAAACTCAGTCTAAATATTCAGTAGAGCATCCTCTGCACTCGCTCCAACCCCCAGTGTCTGTCCCCCTGAGCCTGGCCCCGGGCTGAGCTCTGAGGGACCAGGGGGACGTGACCATGGACATGTTTAATAGACAGACACTACAGTTTTTGTGTCACCATGGAAACCAAGGCTACACACCGATGCATCTTGAATGGTTAAAATGTGTGTTTGAAATATGTAGTAATGTAGATGCTATGTCTGTTCTACCAAAAAGTGCCTTTCAGTGCAAATACTTGTCATTGCTCAACAAGGCTCTGAAACACAATGTTTTACAGAAAAGGAACAGAAGATTTGGCTCGTCATCAGTGTGGAAGTGGGTGCACAGGGTGAGAGGGGGCAACATGGTACAAGTACAAAAAAAAAAAACCTGCAGGCTCTCCATCCTCAACTAGATATTTCCAGCAACTGTGTATTTTACCTGAAAGTGGATAGAAAGGCCTTAACTGTTCATTTAGGAACAGGACTATAATGAATTGTATTATCTGGAAGAGTAGTAACTTACAGACGCTTCCCACAAGGGAGAAATGCCAAGAACAACATGAGAATAGAAAATATGCAATCAATAATAAAGGTAAATTTGCAAATATATTCATATATCTAATGAGACTCAAAATGTTCAGTGCTGTGTAAGTAGAGTAAAACTATAAGGCTGTTTATAATTTATGTAACATAAAACAATATAACAATATTACTGATTTTCTGATTCTTGAATATAATAATATTATTTTTCCTGATAGGGGCAAGAAGCAGATTTCTCCATTGATAACATTGTGTTTTACCATGAACTATCCAAAAGGTAAATGCAAATGTTTAACCTGATCATTTCTTTTAGTGACCAGACTCTAGAACTCAGTGAATTACAATATGAATTTTAACAATATTTAGTTTAGCTGCCCCCATCTGTAAGAAATATACATCGTATACAAAGTAATCTGATCTGAAAACGCAGTAATTGGCATGATACTGAAAGCTGAAAGTACAGATTTTTACTACTAGCTACCTATTCATTATGTGCAATGTAATACAGTATTTATTATCAATAGTGGTCTGTCCAGTTGCCAAAACGGCCCTATTACTGTCGATCGAGAGGCCCGCACAAAAATGACTGTATGAAATTTGGTATGTGCAAAAATGGCAAATAAATTTCTTCAGTCTAAGTCTTGAAGATCCCATTTTCTTAAGCATGAAATATTACACAAAAATCAAATCTTGTGCACTTTACGCCATGTTAGAATGATGTTACCTCCTCAAAGACATATCTGGAGTTGTGTTGTATTTCATTCACATAGTTCAGTAATTCCGCATTATTAGGCTGTGTACATTTCCAAAGCTCAAAATGTGATGTCGTGAAGCAGTACTTTGCAAGTTAACATCTCCTTTTACCTTTTGTTTAGGAGAGATTAACAGGGCTGAAATTATCAAAATGATTCCAGTGAAGGTGTTTGGAGTTTAAAACACAGTGGCGCACTTCCCGTATTATCACATGACATCACGAGGTGGCACAGAGTGTTTTCTGTTTGAGAGAAGAACTCAACCTGAATACGTGGGAAGTGCGTTGAACATGTGTGAATGAAACAAAACACAACTCCCAGTATGTTTGCGATGAGAAAACAACATTATAACATATTATAGATCAGAAAATGGCATTATATGGGCCCTTTAATCACTTTTATTTTGAAATATGACAATACATGTTTTTAAGAAGAGACAAAATATATGTTAACACAGTGAATATAACCCAACAGTGACACTTTGCTATAGTATTTGCTACATCTCTTAACAGTGGCAGTTATGGTTGAAGTTGGAGAGAGTGAAATGTCAGTACTCACCATAGTAGTGCAGTGATTCAGTGGAGTATCCATCAGGGCAGGATACAAACCCCCCAGCAGAGAAACTCATGTCCACTTCAGCCCACTCTCTCATCAGGACACCGCTCGTACTGCTCCTGATCTGTTACATACAAACAGTTATTCTCCTGTCCACAACACTGTTTAAATCATCAAGAGCAGGAGAGAGGAGGGCCCAACGGCACAAGAGGGGGGACGGGTCCAAGACGGGGGACATGGAGCATTTTAGGTTTGGAATCATGTTTAAAGGTTCATTGTGCAACATTTTTGATGGAGGGTCTGTCATATTCTTTTTTCCGTTGAGATATTATTGCTTTGTCTGGAAGGTAAAACTTTCTATCTTCACAGAGACCAAACTAGACCAAGTTACAGGTCAGATCTGGGGAGAGGCGACCCCGCTCACAGTCAGAGTGCCTGTTTTTATAAGTGTTTTTGAGCTATAAAACCACCTGTAACTTAATAAATATAAAGTAGAGCTGTTTAATGTCATACTGTGGAACATTACAGCCAAAGGAATGAATCCACAGTAACAAGTAGGTGATGGAACTCCAGCTAAAAAGTTACATAGTGCACCTTTAAAGAGCCCGTATTATGCTATTTTCTAATCTATGTTATAATGTAATACTCTGTTCCACCTTGTGATGTCATGTGGTAATACAGGAAGTGCTGCACTGTATTTTTAAAATCCATAAACCTTCACTAGAATCATTTGGATAATTTCAGCTCTGGAATTGTCAATCTCTACTGAACAAAAGGCAAAAGGAGCTGTAAAACATAACTTGTACACTAACTTCATGACATCACAAAGTGGAACAGAGCATTTTGAGCTTTGGAGGCGTAGACAGACTAATAATTTAGGGTGAGTCAAACGTCTGACTCAAACAAACAAAAACACAATTCCATGTGTTTTTGAGGAGGTAACAGCATTAAAATGTTGCATAATATGGGACCTTTAAGTTGAAATAAGTTTAAATGTGAACAGAAATATAAAAACACACAAACCTGCTCAAATGCCCAAGTATTCCTTATTAGAGGAATTCAATATGCATGTACATTTTAGCATTTAAAACACATTTATAAATAATGGAATTATTCTTCAGACATTACTGTAACACTTTAGCTTTGTGATATTTAAGGCCAACTAATAGTAGTAAACTATAAAATGGTAAATAGGCATTTATTTGTATTTATAAAGTAATTACAATATTTATTGTAAATGGCCATGTTCTATTTTACAGCGTTCCCACTCTTTTTGACAAACTTTCAAAACTTTTCCATTACTTTTTTATAACCTGAAATGAATTTTCCATGACTTTACAACACCCTACATGTGTAGAATTGATCATACTTTTAGGGTTAAATATGAAATGTTAACTCTTTCCACTCACCTTATGGTTTGGTATTATAGTTTTTTAACATTCAAAATACTGTCAGAGCATTTATTGTCGTCTCTTTTAAACAAAAGGCGCATACGTTCAGAAATCATCCTAATAGCCTAATGATAACTTAACAGAATGCTGTAGTTGAGTAAAACATTCCATAACTTTTCCAAAACTTTCATTGAATTTCCAAAATTCCATGACTTTTCCAGCACCATAACACATTCTAAGATAAGACGAGAGAACCTTTTGTCCCACAGTGGAGAAATCCCAGTGTTGCAATGCTAAGTTCAAGAACAGCAGCAACATAAACATTTGAATTAAAAAATCAAGACACATAATTACAAAATACACTTAAAAATCAAACCTTTTCTAATCAGAAAAGTAGAAATACATTATTTTAAAGCATTTTGTGCCATTAACTCATTAGTATTAATAGACATGGATGCTAACACAGATAATGGGTTTATAAATACTAACTAGATGGATTACATACTACCAAAAGAGATTTATGTGTAGTTCCTTAATTGATTACAAATACAGGATCAACACAGTGTAATTATTCCATTAGCACATCAGCATGCAGTTCAGTTAGTGAGAGAACATAGCTGAATTAAATCTGTATTCGCAGTGTGTGAGGGTCAGATGAGGTCTAAAATGACATGAGTAGTTCTGTTTTCTCTCTGTTGTTTTCTTACTTTGACAGTGGTCTGATCCAGATGGTGCTTGTCGCTGAGTGTCCCTTTGGTTGTTTGTGTAATGCTCAGAGCACAGGGAGGCTCTTCCCTTTTGCCCTCTGTTTACTACGTGCTTATTTGTATTCCAGTTAATAATGGACTAATTGTGGACTCAGATTTCCTAAAACAGACTTCACTGGAGCAGGGTGCAGGAGCGGTTTGCCAATGTTTACCTTCATGAGCAAGCGAGCAAATGCAAGTTAGTGAAGAAAGTAAAGAAAATAGCATACAATGTGAAATCTTGAGTGGATTTTGATAATCTAGTCTAGTCAAATGTTTTTCTTGTACAAACATACATTTGCTTTTCTTTAGACTATGGGCACACTAAAACTCCTGTATGGATAGGATGGGAGGACTTTTCACTATCCAGAGATATAATATATTGTTTTAAATTATCAATTGATATGGCAACAGTCCAAATTTTTCATGCTAAAACCCAAAGATAACACGAGGCTCTGAATCAGCAAATATTCAGCCTCTCGCTCCATGTAGTCCATATCATATATATTCACTGACAGCACAGACACATATCTCTCTCTTTTAAATACCATACTGTGGAACATTCCAGGCCAAGCAATAACATCTCCATGGAAACAAGCAGACAGCTCTCTTTTGCTCATCAAGCAGGTCAAACATAGAATACAGTGCCTGCTTTCAACACTGGCAGCATTTTCTAAAGCTTTAAAGCAGTGATGTTCAATGGTCAAATATGTCACCATGTTTAACCAAATTACATTTTTTTTAAATATATATTGAGGGGTTGTTGGTTTAACTCTTCAAACCAACTTGACTTTGAACTTCAAATAAACGGTTTGAAATGAGTTGTATATATAGTGAGCCTGCTGGTGTGATGTCATTTTGTATAATTGTTGCTGTACTTTTCCTTGTCCTGTAGATGATTTCATATCAACCTGCCGAAGGACTGAAGATGAAAATTAGCTACGCTGGCTATAATCTTTACATACTTACATTTTAAATGTGCTGTCCCTTTACAAATAAATAAGAATAAGGTGCAGGAACCTTCAACAGAAAAGTTACATAGTCCATGTTTAAAGGGCCTATACTTCTGATCTCCATCATAATGTTGTTTGCTCATTAAAGACATACATGGAGTTGTGTTTTGTTTCTTTCAGGCATGTTTAACACACAAACCCTGCATATTTACGCTGAATTCTGCTTTCACGGATAATGAATAACCCTCTGTTCCACTTTGTGACGGCATGTGGTAATACAGGAAGTGCTCCACACACCTTTACTAGAACTGTTTGGATAATATCAGCAATTTCAGTAAAAGGTACAGCAGCTTTTAACTTGAAAACTACCACTTTATGACATCGCAAGGTGGAACGGAGCATTTTGAGCTTTGGGATATAGAGAGACAATAATAAAGGTTTACTCAAACATGTGTGAAGAAACAAAACACAACTCTGTATGTTTTTGAGGAGGTAACAACATTCTAACATGGCCCAAAACTCACAGGAATCTATTAGCAACACTGATATATGAGTAATGAATAATACATTTGCTTATCTTGCACATGTTGTTTCCAGGTAAAGTCCACATTTGCCAGAGAGGAACAGTGTTGAGTCAGATCTCTGTGTTCCCGTTAAGATGTGAAGGTGAAGGTTACGGGTGACCAGTTGGATGTTGGATGAGTCCAGGCTGGATGTGTCTGTTTGTGTTTGACCCATAGATTAGTGTGGGGCAGAGACTGACACTAAAGAATTGGACATGAGTGAGAGTGGACGATGTGTCTTAAGGGGGTGTCACACAACTGGACACAGGCCGAGCATCCCGCATTCATCCCCTGGGAGCTGAGTGTCAGGAAAAAAGGGAGTAAACGCTGTCATTTTTGTATTTTTACTGAACTATTTACTTAACTATTTGGATCTGAGTGGTGAAAAGACGGAATGAAAACTGACCTAACAGTCTGAGTGTATTTGTGGGTTTCAGCATTCTGTTGTAGACAGTAATTTGAGGACTTTCCATCATTCAAAATCCTATAATGTATTGTTTGAAACTGTTAATTGCTTTGGTCGCGATCCTAATGTTTATCATTCATTCTAACAAAAATCTGCAATATTAATTTTAGCTGCCCCTCACCTGTATTAAAGGGCTCCATATTACGCCATTTTCTGATCTATGTTACGATGTTCTTTCTTCACCACAAACACACCTGGAGTTTTGTTTTGTTTCATTTACACATATTTAACACACAAACCCTGAAGATTTAGACTGAGATCTTCTCTCAAACAGAAAACACTCTTTTCCACCTTTTGATGTCATATGGTAATTCAGGAAGTGCTCCACTTTTACATACGCTACATACACTAGTGTCGTAGTACTCAAGACTTGGTCTTGGTTTTGAGACCAGCCTCGAGAGCGCTTTTTTATGGTCTTGGTCTCATCTCAGACTCGAGCGCATTTGGACTCGGTCTTGTCTTGGTCTTGATGATGCTTCGACTTGGTTTGGTCTCGGACTCGAGGTCTGACGCTCAGCGAGTACAATCATATTTCATTACGGCCAGTAAATGTGCAGCGACTGCTAACTATCACTACAAACCAGTAAGATAATGTAACTGTAAATGTTATGAACTTGAAACAACAAAACAAAACACTTGATTAACTTTGAAGTTGTTTTCTGTAAAGTGCCAGTAGAAGTGGGATCAAAGAAGAGCTTCTCAAACTGCGGGTGAGGGTCCAAAAAAGGGGTGCAGAGTGTTTAAGTGTAGTACAGTTTGCTTGGCCTATTTTAAGCCTAAATGAAGAATAATTAGATCAAATGGAGATAGACTTATAAAACATTGGTATATTTGTGCCAAAATATCTGCAAAATACAAATAAATGTAGGAAATGACAAAGCTGATTTTGATTTGGTCTTGATGGGCTGTGGTCTTGGTCTTGTCTTGGTCTCGGCCTTAAAAAGTCTTGGTCTTGTCTCAGTCTCGACCTTCATAGGTCTTGGTCTTGCCTTGGTCTCGGGATCCTGTTGTCTCAGACTGGTCTCGGTCTTGATTAGTGCGGTCTTGACCTCCACAAGAATCATTTGGATCATTCCAGCTCTGGAATTTCCAATCTCTATTGAACTAAGTGTACAGCTATGAACTTGAAAACTACCATTAAATGACATTACAAGGTGCATTTTGAGCTGTGATGTGATGACAGTCTAATTATCCAGGATTACTCAAACATGTGAATGAAACAAAACCTAACTCCAGGCATGTTTTGATGAGGAAACAATATCTATCATGGCTTAAACCTTACAAAAATCAATTCTATGTAATGTAGGACCTTTAAATAAAATTGGTCTAGAATGTTGTGGTGTCACCTGAAACCCCTGCAGCAATTTTCTCCTTACCTTTATCTGGTTTATTTCTTTGAGGGGACATGAAATGCACAGTTCTATTAAGGATGGCCATAGATCTTATAAGCCATTGAGCCACTGAAGCGAGCTACTGGTTGTCATGTTTATTCTGGACTGTTGCTTGTGAGAATCATTAGCGTAGACTCACTCATATTCATGTGAGCTGCAGATAAGGTTTGCACTTCATAAATCTGTATGGGACGACCAGGCGCAGAGGTTTATCTGTAGACCCCCTGACTCTGCTCCTGCTCGCTGGTAATTGGCCGCCTGCTTCACTGATTCTCAGAGAAAATAATAGTGAATTTTGAGTCAAGCCTGATCCTTGATATAAATGAGTGAAGAAGTGTTTAGACTTTAATGGAATGAATCTTTATCTCATCAAATTCCAGCCATGCTAAAATAACACATGAAAGCAGTTTTTGTGCTCTTCCATAATTGATGGTAAGGCTATCATTTATAGACATAAAAAGCTACACCAGAGCTATTTTACATTTTCTTGAGAGCCATGGTCACTGGACTGGATAAATATACAAAACGCTATGACTTTTAACACAAACTGGGGTCTGAGAAAATATTCCCAACACTAGATCTGTTTCAGTAGAAATAATATAACAATGACTGCTGTTAGATTTAATAATAAAATACGACAGGTTTTACCAACATGGATCTCAACGGTAACAACTTGCTCTGGTTCTGAAAGTAAATTTTTTTGTTAGTTTTTCCCGTACACTTTTCAAAAAATTCTGATATTTCAGTTATAATTCAAGAGTACAAAGACATCACAGAGGTTAAGCAGCTATGAGGTAACTTCTATTCATAATGTGGTTGTTTTCAGTCCAAAAGGCATGATTAAGACTGCAAGACTCTGTGAAATGTTTTAATGATATTACAGATTTTGTGGTCATTAGTTTCCACATAGCTGATTAGGCCTGAGCAAGCTTTCAAACTTAAGATTACAGTCTGTTACTTAACCAGTATTTACACTAGAACTAGACAAGCACTGGGACTAAACCAGATCTAAAACAAAATTAAACAAGAACTAAACTAGTACTAACCAGGAATAAAACCAGGACTTGCACTAATTAAACCAGAACAGGAAAGGAGAGGAAATATTTGAATATTTGAATTAGATCGCTTGGGGTTTTGGATCTGGCCTGAGCTGCACCTTTTGTAATTGATGTTTTTAACTTTTTCACCTTTATTAACTGATATTAGCTACTAAATTGTACAAAACAGGCAAGTCAAAAAAGCTGGGAAATATTAAATGGCCCATATTATGCTATTTTCTGATCTGTATATAATGTTGTTTCCTCATCACAAACATACCTGGAGTTGTGTTTTGTTTCATTCACACATGTTTAACACACAAACCCTGCATGTTTACGCTGAGTTCTTCTCTCAAACAGTAAACACGCGCTTCCACCTTGTGATGTCATGTGACAATACAGGAAGGTGGAAGAGAGAGGCTGTCTGTGTTTTCACTGTGTCTTTACACTCCATAGACCTTCACTAGAATCATTTGTATTATTTAGCCCTGGAGTTGCCAATCTCTAAATAAAAGATAAAAGATACATTTTGACTTCCACTGACTGAAGACTACCACTTCATGATATCACAAGGTGGACCAAATCATTTTTGAAGTTTGGAGATGTAGACAGACTAATAATTAAGGGATACTCAAACATGTCTAAATGAAACAAAACACAACTCCAAGCCTGTTTTTGATAATAACAAAATTCTAACACGGCTAAAAGCTCATAGCAATTTTGCGTATTAAAGGATCTTTGAAGTAGACAAATGATAATGTGTAAGGTATAAACAGGTTTAACAACATGGAGGTGGACAAACTTGTTTTGTAGTATAAATAGAACATCATTTTCACTTCTTCCTACATTTGCCTGTTTCCAAGCATAATAACTTATTAAAGAGCAATTTCCTAATTTCTTACAATCTTTTAAATTCTGAAATGTACCTTTTTAACATATAATTTTCTAGATGATTCCAATTCCATTTTATGAATATTCCCTTAGAATATTTAGACATTCATAAAACTTGTTCCAAGTCCCATTGTACTTGACATTGAAAATTCTTTGGACGCTCTATAAAACAACCATCAAATCTTTGCCAGCTTTTTACAGGGACCATCATTTCATGCATACTATTTAAAATGACTTGTCCACTGAGCTGTAGCTGTCATTTTAATACCCCATGTAAATGTATAGTTTCAGATTTTGCACATTTTATTAAGACCCTATCAGACATGTGCTTAATTTAAATAAATGTAATAGACTCAAAAAAATAAAAATCATAATTAAAAATGCAGGCTATTATATGTTCTAATTCTACAAATGAGTTGTTTAGAGTAGGCCAGTGGTTCCTGTAAAGGTCCTACATTACACAAAACTGACAACTGGAATTGTGTTTTGGTTCATTCACACGTTTGAGTAACCCTTTATTCTTAGTCTGTCTATATCTCCAAAGCGGTAAGGAAGCTGTAGTTTTCAAGTTAACAGCATCCTTTTACTTTTCATTCAGTATAATGGCAACTCCAGGGCTGAAATCATCCAAAGAATCTAGTGAAGGTGTGAGGTCTGAGAGAAAAACACAGCCTAAATATGCAGCATTTGTGTGTTAAACATGTGTGAATGAAACAAAACACAACTGAGTATGTTTGTGATGAAGAAACATTATAACATAGATCAGAAAAAAGCGTAATATGGGCCCATTCATTACAGAATCCAAATATTCATTATGAGCTAAAATGATGAATTTACAGTTTTCACAATACCCTTGAACTAAATCAACAATATGAAATATTAGAGAGATTTTCCTGAGTATTGTTGTTGGAAGTTCCTTAGTGATGTCTCATTGCTTCTTTCTCTCATTAGAACATTCCCGTATGGAGTGTTTATAAACAGTGTGTAAGTGATGGTCAGTGATGGATGAGTGCCTCCTATCACCAGCTCTTCCTCTCAACTCCCCAGTCTCCAACAGTTTCACAACCACACGCATGTCCTCGTCTCTGTGGGTGGGCCCGCAGTGTCCGGAGCGTGCACTATTATGAGAAAGTGTGTCCGGTAGTCATTATTTACATTTGGGAGGACATTTGGTTACATGTTAAAGAGATGCTAAGTCATTTTTAGCGTTGATGTTTAAAAATAGTAGCCCGCTTAATTAAGATAAATTTAACTCTAATATGAGAACATTTAAGGTAACAATAAAAGTGCTACTGATTTAAACATGGCAAAACAAACGTGGCAAAATACAATTGAACCTGAGATAAGAAAACCTGAGAAATCTATGGTTTCATTTCCCCTCCAATGCATGTGCCCAAAAATGGACCCAGACAGTAGTTTTCTATGAATCATAATACATAAGCTTTAATGATATATCGTTGACATGAATCTGTTAACATACAAGTTTACTGCAGGAGTTTATGGGGATCTGTGAATCTATGGGCTGTTTATCTCAGATATTTACAGTTCATCACAGCTCTGATTATCACATTGTTTAGGTTGTTTACAAATTACTCTAATGATACAGAGAAATGTTTGACAATGAAAAATAAAAATGTCCTTCCTGAAATCAGTCATTTGGCCCATTTTGGACACATGTTGTGTATTAGAGCCATCCAACCATTTTTGCAAACCTCACATCAATGTATTGCTGTCCACATTTTCTTTAAAAGTCTTCCCCTCACCACGACCCTGCTCAAGATCCAGGGTATGTAGGAAAAGCAGAAAACGAATGGATAGTAATAAAGAAGCACATGGCACCACCACAACTTATATCCTGTGCAGCCAATATGAATACCTATTTTTCAGGCATTCAGTTTGTGTAATTTTTGCATGTGCACGGAGTAAGACAGCAGCATGGATCTGCTAATGAAGAAAAACTACAGAGCTGTCCTGGCCTCCAGCAGCAGTAGGTCAAAGCGTGTCTCTAGGGGGCAGGGTCAGGAGAGGTCAAAGTTCAGGGGTTAGAGTTAAGGCCAAGAGCAGGACGAGGGAGTGAACAGTAGTTTTTCACTGTAGACACTATTATTGTAATAAATGGCACCATTTGGAGGAGCAGGCTCTACAAGTCATACAATAATGCAGCAAAAAAGAGAGAAAAAGACAATATGATTTCAATAATTTCATTTCAGCAATGCGACTGACCATAAAAAAGTACAATTATCTTTTTTGTATAAAAACACTTACTTTAAAATGAGATTTTTTTTAAAAGGAATAAAATGTAAATGAGTCAACTAAAAGATGGAATGAGGAAAGTGTCCATCTAGTTGACACAGTTACTGGATTATACTTGACACAAATAATACATGCAGATAAATAGTGTTGTATTTCGCTATAGAACATGTGCTATTTTACAGTAACACATTGTACACTGTCACCACTGACATAACCATGACAAAGGGATTAAAAATCGGCTGTCCAAATTTTTCACTAAGGGCCACATATAAAAACATTAACTGAAGAGTGCCACAGACCAATGGTCAACACAGTGAGTGTTAGGTGTGTATGACAGCACTGTACAGTGATATTTCTATCACTGTAGGTTACAGTGATAGAAATACTTGAATATATAATAAAAGTTCCAGCCTGTAATCCCATCAAAAACTCCGAGGGCCGCATTTGTTTCCTAGGCCATAGTTTGGACACCCTTGGAGTAAAGGAATAGTACAGAGACAAGTGCACTGCCAACTCATCTGCACAAGATGAAATCTGGGAATACAACCTTGTCTGTTGTATTGTCCCTTTTTTAACTGTGCACCAATCAGCAATAGAGCAATTACACATTTCTATAACTCTAAAAATTAGGAGGTATAAAAATATCCATTTTACACATTATAAAAAATAAATAAAAAACACTGTAAAAACTAACTATAACGTCACTGACAAACCAGTGACTGACAGACCAGGCCTTAGCCTCTCAGTAATGGTGCTGCCTCCTCCAAGTTGTCCAATTGCTGCAATGGACTTTTACGGTAAATAAAGAACTGGATGGAGATCTGAAAGCAAGGGTTAAGGAAATAATCTGGGAACCCAAATACAAAACTTTTGAAAGACATGCAGACAGAAATTGCATTGTTATGCAGTTAAAAAAGATACAATGATATCCAGAAAGAGGGTGCCGAGGCTGCCGATGAGCCAGGGCAGGTGGTGGACCATGTAGCTTCTCTCTCCCTGACCTCCATCAGGGTTTTTCAGCAGAACACTGAGCCCATACATAGTGTTGCCGAGGATGACCAGCGCAAACAGGAAGTAAGACACGCCCTCAGTTGATTTTCTCTTAAACTACAAGAAAATAAAATGTTTGAAGGAAAGTGAATGAGAATTGTATAATGATAATACATGTTAATGCAATTTGATACTTACATTGGTGTAAATTTGAGGGAGTCTGGAGCACAGGTAGAGAACTGATGACAGGGACCCAATAGTGAAACCAATTATTTCTTTGTTTGTAAAAGCCTTAAAAGCAGGAAGATAGAAAATAAAATATAAAATGATGTGTTAAAATGGACATGGAAATTAGCAAACAGTTAGCAAGGAGAAATGTGCAATTGCTGTTACAAGAAGGCATGTGACAATGAGCACAATATGAAACAGATAAAAACAGTGTAATAAGTTGTGTTTAAAAGGTAATGCACGTGACTCCACGACAGTTATAGCAGCAAAAGCTCTTTGAGTGGGGGCACCAGTGAGCTATGAATGTGTGGGCTTTGGAATCATACAGTTTTGAAAAGATTACCCTTTTAAGTGAGTAGTTTCTTAGCAGGTGAAATGACAGAAAGTGCTCTTTTAAAACTTAGATGGAAAAATGGAAACTAAAGTAAATTTGTTCAAGATGAGTCAGCTAAAGCTGTGTTTGCAATAGGTCCACACAGAAAGGAGGATGTTGGCGACGGTGTTATGACTGAAAATGCTGTGAATGCAAAACATGCAAAGTCTTCCAGCAGGCAGCAAAAGACACTGGGTACAGAGATGTGTGAGCGTAGTCAGGTGACCCTTCTTTGTTCTTGTGTAAAACTACTCACTCGCACAAAACCACTTTCCGAGACTGAAAGCAAAGCACGACTCCTGACCACAGATACGTCCACTTCCTGTTTGGAGCCCATAGCCGGGACATGAAAGAAACTGCCAGACAAACCAATGACACAGGCCATGCCCACAACATGAAGAACGGTCCCCTCTGCAAAATTAAATAAAGAAAGCATTCAACACCGAGACAGCACATTACACATAGCTGTTGTTTCAGTACTGATGGGCTGCTCTCTAATCACACAGAGATAAAGGGTGACCACATATCAGAACAGAGGAACAATCTCTAAGGTTAAGCAAACTGGACAACGATACGTATATAATACTTATACTCACGTCTTTTATTCTTTATCTTATAGTAGGTGTACATGCCCAACATCAGCAGGTCTGCTGTAACGTAATAAATTGCAGTATATGTCTACAAGATAGAAGATATATTAAGATTTAAAAGTTTGTAGATCTTCTATACAATATCTTTAAAAACTTAGTCAACCTGAAGAGGAAGTTGATCTGCTAAGTAGGAGCCCACCAAGTTACAGGAATCTCCTCCCAACCACAACAGCAGGAACCAGATAGAGAGGGCGCTGTCCATGTTCCCAGTTTTATATGATTTGTAATATTGTCTGCAATATTGGAGATGAAGACAGTGACAACATAAAAAATATTAAGAACATGGAAAGCAGTAGATAATATACAGTTTGTGGTCATGCATGTTTGCTCTTCCGTGTTTGAAATAGGGGTATGCTAAAATCGCTACACGGACATTTTATTAAACCAATAATAAAGTATTTGTTACATTTTGTTTGTTCTAAATGTTTATTTGCACTGCTTATCTTAATAAACTAAAGTAAAAAAAAAAAAATTCTTACAATAAAGTGATACATTATAGATTACCAAGTTCAACAAATGGATTATTGCCATTCTGTGATATAATCATGGTGTTATTGTATTCTGAGCCATGTATTGTATCAAAAAGTGAAGGAACTTGTGATTCCCAGCTATAGTTTGAATGCATCACTCTAAGACTTTCTAAAGCTAAGAGTATGCTGCAAACATTGAAAAAGATACTTACGGGCAAGATGACACCATGAAGCACAGAATAGACAGCAGACCCAGGTAGATACTGGCCATGTCCCTTTCATCGTCAGCACACTCCCCAATGATCTCCCAAACCCATTTTGTCCCATTAGGACATAATGTGGTGAAATTCCCTGAAGTGGTCCACACAGGGGCTACATGTGTTAGGAGGGTTTCTGTAGACATGGCCTGCAATAGACAGAATTTCAATAGAGTTAATACAGTAATCAAAATATCCATAATACCCTCTTCTTGTCTAGGATTCACACTGGGCTGTTTCTCCTAATACTGCTTAGTAAAACAAGACATAAGAGTAACAACAAAAACATCTAAGTTCAAATGTTCAAACGTAAGAAGACCATCACACAGCTTTTCCGTAACTAAACAAAATACGCTGGTACCTACAATAAAATCCAAATCCACTTGTTTTGTTTAGAAAAACGGTATGGAGACATACTAGATAAGCAATAAAAGCGGCGAGCCAACAGAATATAGCAAAACAGCTGTTCGACCACGCAGAAGAACACTAAAATTACTTAGCATACAGTATGATCTAATCAAGCCTTAAATCACGGAACAGCTTCTAATGATAACTAGAAGATATAACAACGGCATGTAATAGGTTTCTTGCCTGTATCGACGCTGGTGCACTAATGAAACCTTCGTCCTCAGGCAGCACAAAGCGCTCAGCTGAACTGGGGAAAACACGGAAGACGGCGATAAACAACAACTGAAACGTCATGAGCGTCTGAGCTCTGATTGGCTGTTGGAAAGTGTGCGCGCTTTCGTCACCCAAGCACGTGAGAGCGATACTCAGTGGTCTTTACAATAAATGGTCTCGAGCCACAGATCGACAATTTTAACCAGTTTCGCCGTAATGACGAAATAAAAAAGTTGTTCCTATCTTACATAAGTACATAAACGTACATTATACAAGTATACACAATTAAAACAACCCATTATACTCTACTGCAGTGCAATCTTTCATGTTAGTGCTACTTTTCCCTTGAACTCTCCCGGATATCCCAGACCTGAACATTTCACATCGCCTCAGCACATACTAACAAACCATGCTAAAGGCGATTAGTTTACGCCTTGTAGTAATTACTCATTAGTCCGGAGATGCCATTAGTTTTGAGGCCCCGAATCCCCGTACATTTTAGAAAGCACTTGTGAAAACAATGTATTACAGCAGTGGCTTCAGGTTCATATAGCCACAAAGACAATCGAGGAATGACTTTCCTGAACAGTTTTACCTTAAGAGACATTTAATTGTTTCACACGTTTAATCAGTCTTGTTTTACCATTAATTAGCTGTAATCAATTTAAACGCCTTTATTATTTTTTAACGGCCTATTGTTAAGCCACTGATAGTGATAGGCTATATCTTCACTGACATGAAACACATCAAAAGATCCCATAGAGGCAGAGGCTAAGCCCCAAAACTAAAATGCTTAATCCTGACCTTTAGTGGGAAGGCACAGCAATTAAAACCCCTTTATAGAACCTCCAAAATAGTAATCATCTTACCTACAAAGAAGGGCCTTGAATAAACAAGTTAGCACTTTGCACCACGTAATGATGTAGGACCTCAGCTGACTTGAGTCATCAGGACGGCTACTCAGCACTGCAGCACAGCTGACTCTATAGAATAACTTCCCAATTACAGCAGTCTTGACACGTTAAGTAGAAACGGCTACTTTACGACTGCTTTGCATTTTTGAAACAACAGCCTATATCACACATCCTGTTCATCAAGTCAGAAAACCTATTAAAAAAATTTAACTTTACTTACATTACATTGTAATAAAGAGCAAAAAGGTTTGTGCTATAGTGTGTAAGTAATTTCCCTTGTGGATTAAAAACTGGTCCAAGTTAAATTTTTTGTAATGCGATGCAGTTGAATGAGCTGCCACCTGCCTGTCTCTGGGTGATGTTCAAAAATTCATAGCATATAATATATCTATTTCCATGGAGAATGTTCCAAAGTTTTAAAGGTCTTTTTCTGTGGTAACTTCGAGGTGACACGCCTGCATGGAAATATTATGGGCAAAAACATGTATAGTAAATAACAAAATTTTTGATAACACTACCAACTCAATATGCCAATACCAGTATTTCAACAAGTTTTATTGATGCATTCACACATCTATTGAGATACCTTCAAGATCTAGATTCTCTTATTTACATTATGGTTCCACACAGTCATACAAATACTTCTGGTAATTTGTGGTACACATATGATTCTGGAAACAAAGAATTTAAGATCTTTTTGATAAGGCAAATGTCACAAGTAATATACAAATGAAAATGAATAAAAAATAATACAGAATTGTTTCATAACTTAATGTGTCAAAGAGTAGTCCTTTCAGGTTTTCTGTACAGTGATTTGAAGAATGACTGCAGCTTTTGTTTGCATGTCCTCAAAAGTTCACGTTAAAGCAGAGTTGAAGTTTGGAGGAGATATGAATTAAAACTGTTTTTAGACCACATTGTATCTGTTAATCTCCAACATGGGGGGGGGAAGACAGATACTGGTGTGCTCCTCACTTTATGTGGACCAGTTTCTCGTCCGTTTTTAATCGTTTCCTTCTGGGTTGTACAAAGTCGTCCTCAGAGTCCTCTGAATCTTCTTGGTTTTGTGATTCCTCACCAGTTTCCGGTTCAGGATTATCAGGGAAAGTCTGTCCTGGGAATAGCTCCAGTAACTTCTCCTCAAAGTACAGACTCACTGCTTTGCCGGAGATGGCCATCTCTGATCCCACCTGAGGGAGAAAGGGGGTATAGAGCAGATTGGGGTGTGGAGGGGGCAGGAAGTGAAGGTCAGGGGGGAGGAAGAGGAGAATGAGGAGACAAATTAGAGCTGGTTAAGAGAACTCTGATGCAGGAGATCCTCCGTCTAACCTTTACTCCTGTACAGAGACATCAGCTGCCCATCCCACTGAGGCTTCATGAAGGAATCCTAATTACCACTTCACACTAGACAGGCTCTTACTAAGAACACATAACAGATGACTTTTATTGTTTGAAAACTATGTGTGTGTCTGAATACTGAATACAAATAAAAGAAAAGCTAAAAGACAATAGTGATTTTTTTTTTGTCTTATCTATGATGGATCAGGACAAAATATAATTTAGTGTGCCAATTATATATTTGAAAACACTCAAATCTAGCACCCCTAAATTAGTCAACATGGTTTGATGGAAGGAATTTGCATTGATAGATTTAGACTGTAGCAGGACACAAATCCATATGATAAGATTAGTGGGACCTAAACCATGTGAGCCACCTTCTAAAACCTGACAACATGAATACTTAACACAAAGAGGCCTGGCTCATTATCTTACATTATCATTGAACTATGACTTCATAGAACCTTGGTGGGAGTGGACAGGGCGCCTGTGCTCCAGACACTGAAGCTCTTACCTTGTTATTAATCTGTTTCTTCTCATCATAAACCTGGATTATTCGAGACATCTGAAGAGGGGCAATAACATTACAAGTGAAGCAGAAGGGGCAAGAGAAAATGTCAATACAGGTCACATAAGAACAGAGGAGGATTCTGCTGATTGCTGGAGAGCAGCGCTAAGTGGTTACTTCTGAAACCAACAGCAAGACTTCACAATGGGCTGCTTAACATATATTGTATTTGGTGCACTACATGATGTTAGCCTTAAAATATATTTTTACTCTACTGTCTAAACTACCACCAGTATTGTTTCTGAAAATAAAAATTGTGATAAACAGTATAGACTTTAGAGTATATGCATGGTTAAGTAATATGAAACTGCATTTGTAAACACAACACAGGTCACATCCTAAGGCAAACACGACATGACATATTGGCAGCTTCACACACATTGCCTTGTTCTTCTGTAATTTTTGTGTACAAACCAAAGATTTCCTAAACCACAGTGATAAGCATGTCATTTTCACTTCAAGGACTACGACAGCCTTAACTGCTGAATTAGTGGTCACTGATATCAGTATTGTATACTGGTGTTAAACAGCCACACCTTGCTGTTAATTGCATCATTTCACCTGAGAGTGATTATGAAGTGTGATCAAAAGACTCATCAAATCTTTTCACCAACTTTGTACATGTAACATCACACACACATATTCACACATACAGAAAATACTGCCCCAAATACGGTTCCTAAATGACAGTGGCAACTGGCTAACCACGAAAACCTTATTGAGATGTGAAATGTGAAAAGGGTTCACACAGAGTGCAGGCAGTGTCTACAGGACACAGTGAGACCAAAAGATCAAAGACCGAGAAACTGGTGTTAGTAAAGAGCTGCTCCCCTGAGCAGAGCAGCAGGCCAAGTCAATACGGCACCTTTCACGGACATCACACTCTACCCATGCATTCGACTGTATTCTGTTTGGCAAGACCCACAGAACTCCCGGTAATGCCAGTTGAAATATACCAGTCTCTACACTGAGGAAGCTGTACAAATCCCACCCTTACTATGTAAATGTGCCATAAAAATACTGACTGATAATGTGACATTCCACGATTACACTCGGTTTAGGTAAAATGTATTTGGTAAAATAGCATTTTACAATCATTGACTGTAGTTCATTAGAACAGGATGCAGTATGGACCCTATAGACATGCACACACACACAATGGTGCCATTCCCCAGAGTCAGTGGCGGAGTCATGCTGCTCACCTCATTGTACTGTGCACAGTTCTTAAAGATGAGCCTCATGTCCGACACAAAGTCCTGTGTGGACTGGTAAAACTGGGAGCTCCGCCCTTGCAGCCTCTTCTTTACCTTCTTCAGGTCCATGGGCTGTTTTATTATCTTGTAGTAATTTGGTACCTGCAACAAGCAATCAAACATTTTCTATAAATCACTAAACAAATAAAATCATTTTAGTGACAACCCCCAACATTACAAAAGCTCACATATGCAAGCAGTCCTTTATGGTGAAGCCCTTTTGATACTTACTGAAGAAGAGACTGGCTCCCTGAAGCCTACGCTGAGCTCATGACAGAAGATGTAGAGCAGAAGGCGTTCACATCTCTGCAGACAGAAGAGAGAGATTTAGTGGTCTATAGTCTATAGCTTATAGAGCTGTCCTGCTGGAGACACTGACCCGTTGGTCCTCAGGACTAAGGGCTGGCTCCCCCTTCTGTTTGCGGTTCTCATCACAGTACTGGATCTCTGGGTTTGATAAACTCCGGCAAAATGTACACAGGAAGTCCCCCCTAAAACAAACAAAGAAAAAAAAGTTTTAAGACCAGGCTATCAAATCATCAGTGAAATAATCTAAAGCAAAATGTCTGTCCATTATTATATTAAATATCAAAATGAATAAATGGAGTACTCATTTTAAGACATCTCTCTCCATCTACATTCAATACATATCCAAGTTCAAGGATTGAATAACTTGTTTTCTAAAGAATAGAATTTGCATTATGGTATAAAAGTAAATGCACCTTTATACAGTTTAAAAGTGTAATTTAATGTATAAACTAACACCCAGTACCACAATTTTAAAATCCTAAAACTGTAATAAGAGGCATCATCTGCCTTTTAAGAATTAGCCACAATCTAAGCCTGTCTTACTTAGGGAAGATTTTAATGGTGGGTACGTGGCATCTCATGTGGAACACTTTGGGACAGCGGTCGCAGCAGATTAGGTCTCCTCCATTGATGCACACAGCACACCAGTCTTCATTGGGGTCATCCTCCTTTGAACCCTGATGGGCAGCTGAAGCCCCACCCTCTGGCCTTTTGTCAGTGCTGCCATTGGTGAGGGGTGTGCTGCTGGACGATGAGGTAGTGGTCAAAGTGGAGGAGAGGGATGTGGAACCATTGAGGCCTGAACACATTTGGGACTGTGACTCTTGTTTTATCAGCTCATCCAGAGTCCTAAGAGCATCCTGGCCCGCGGACACAGAGGATAACACAGGATGACTGCTGTCCTCAGCGCTGCTCATCTGAAACAAAAACACAAATTATAAGTAAAAACATTAAAATTTGTATATTACCTGCAATTGTCTCTTTACGACATGTTAGAATCTTATTTACTCATCAAAAAACATTCCAGGAGTTCTGTTTTGTCTCACTCACACAGGTCTGAGTACAGTATTACTAGTATTATTCTGTCTACATCAGCAAAGCTCAAAATGTTCTGTTCCACCTTGTAATGTCATGAAGTGGTAGTATTAACAACTACCTTTTAACCAACGAAATGATTCTAGTGAAGGTATGGACATTGGGGCACTTCCTGTAATGCCACATGACATCACAAGGTGAAACAGTGTTTTCTGTTTGTGAGAAGAAAAGCCTAAATATTCAGAATTTGTGTGTTAAATACGTGAATTTGAGCACAACTCTGGATATGCTTTTGATGAGAAAACAGCATTATAGCACATTAGAAAAATTTGTCAACCGTGAAAAACGGAGTCATACCATGCAAGCACTCCTTCCATCTTTGCCCCTCTCCATCTTAAGAGAAGTGGTACACGTGTAGTCTTCTGTGCCAGGCTCCTGTTTTACACGAACCTGTTCCACCGCTGTGCTGCCTGCCGCTCTCCCAGATGAGCTACAGCTAATCACACCATCAAATTAATCGACAGGTTCTGCTGCCAAATGCTCAAAGTCAATTTACTTTTTCAATAACAAACCTGCCCCTGCTGCCTGTGCTGGATGTACTGGAAGGCCGCGCTGGTGTGTGGGCATTGGACACCCCTGATAATAGAAAAAAAAAATGGTTACAAAGCATGTCTAAAAGAGAAAAAGTGTCATTAAAAGTTAAAGAGAGTATATTTTACTTAAATGGGGCATTAGCTGCTAACATATAACATATTTAGATCACCATGTTACTTTTAATTGTTTTGAAAATGCTATATTCGCCAAATTAACATGTTTTATAAGTTTCACTTTTGTTTTCGACGCTTTGAGTCCCCGCTCCCTTTTTCACTCTCCTCCTTAGCACTATCACAACACAATCAGTGTGCATCCTGCTAATGGAACTACTGCACATTGTATCAGATTTGTCAAGTTGCTGTGCAGATTTGTAGCATGCTTTTGTATATTTATGGAGAATTTGGCTGATGTAGGCTTGTGGGCCGAGCACTGCACAAAATCTTACCACAAGGAGGACTTTGAATGCTGTACGAGAGATATTGATAAAATACTTGCATTGATCACATCTAAAACCTCTTCAAGCATCTTTTTGATTAGGGAATGTTATAACATGATAGAAAGCTTAAAAAAAGATTTTGCATGATATCCTCTATATAAAGTGTGTGGTGCAAGCTAATTCAAACATTTTTTATAATCAAATGGCACTATAAAGTCTATTTAGGATTTTGTTTATTATTCATTCACTCCTCAAGCACACTCTTCTCTATCCACTGATCAACTGGGACAGACTGGCCCCTTCAGATCTACTAAAGGTAGCTAATGGTAATGATAACTAATAAATGGGTCAAGAGCCTTGCCCGAGGTGACAGTATGGGTTCAGGCTAAATCTGTAAAATGTAAATTGTAAAATTTTACCTGATGATCCCGGGGAATGTGTGGATAACCCTGGTGACGTGTTCAGGTCCAATGGGCCTTGGTGAGTGCTGATTTGGATATACCGAGAAAGGAGGTGCCCCAGGCTACTGGAACCTGCATCCTCAAGCTGAACAGACAACAGTGAATGTTAGCAGAATTAGTGCTTAGACAGTCAATATATAATCATTAACAATGTACTTGGCTTTACTTCATCAGACAACTGTGTAGATGATCAACAATTCATAAATCCTGCTCAAATAATGGGGCTGCTAAGTATATAAATGCATATAATCTAATTATATACAATGTGTTGCATGTAATTACAAACCATTGGTCAAACAGAGGGCACAAATATAAAACTCATCATTGTATCAAAAAATACTTCAGACTAAGCAGTGGACTAAAGAAACATTAGCTATGGACTAAAACCTTTAGCCATTTCTTTAAATAGACTGCTTTTTGTTATCAGCAGGTGCAGAACCCATGCAGACTTGCACAAAGTCGAACCTGTATGGGTGGGATCTCGGGCAGACAGGGCAGGTTCTCTGGGTTGGTAACAGAAGGGATGAGCTCGATGGGTCCCAGGATGGGGCTGGTGGGGCCGCGGTGCGCGTGTGCTCCTGCCATACTGGCGCTGGTTGGACTGGTGGGGTTAGCGTTATGGAGGGAGGCTACAGGAAAGGGGCCCGCGTGGCCTGGGTTTGAGTGCTGTGCAGAGAGACAACAGACTCGATGAGGACAGAGTCGTAGGAAGTCAAACGGTCAAACAAAGAAGGCATGAGCACGAGTTGTGACAGGGGAGATGAAGCGTTTTTAAGTTCAAGTGGTACAGTCATGCATGTCAGTAACACTACACATGCTGCACAAAACACAGATGATAAAATATGAAAAAGTGCCAAACCCCTGATTGTAGTAAGAAACGAAACCTTTGGTGGCTCAGCTCAGATTCTAAAGACATCTGGACACAAACAAAGAGGGGCTATATGTAGTGGCTTCTCTCAGCCTGGCTTTTGCAAACATCAACTCAGCACTTAAAAGTGGTCAGGGTTTATATACATAAAAAAGCTTTAGGGGTAAGTGAACTTGGATAAAGTAGGAATTTATCCAAAAGTATAAAGATCAGATGCCAGTCAACATATTTTATAAAAAAGCATAAGGCACCAACATTTATTCAGGGAGATTCAAATTTTCAGTGAATTCAACATTTGAGACAAAGCAAGATTTTATTCAACACATTATTCAACCACCACCCAATTAGTAAGTCAGCAATGAGGACATTGAACTGTTGGCTTTGAAATCCTCAAAACTGTCATGCTGTACATTCATGCACCACACTAGGCAGGATAAAAAAGGACACTGGAGGTTCTTCCAAGAAACTCTGTACAAAACATGTGTAATGTGTAATTTCCTCCTACACAGTTTCAAAATTAAGATTTTTATTAAGTCAGCAGTTCTGGTTTGTATTAAAAATGGGGGCACAATTTATAATGTATCAAGTTAAACTTAGAAATCTAATCTTTGGTAGAGATAACAGCAGAAAGTGTCTATGATTACTTTTGTACTGGACAATAAAAAAAAAAAACATCACTAAAACAGAGAGAATTATAGAATTACAAATCCAAACACTTTTGGGACAACTTCAGATCTTAATTTTCATGTGTTAAAAAAAAAGCTTGCTACAGCTGTGAGATGCAGTAAAGCAATATCTGCAGCATGAAGTGAAGAGTGCCTGCACTGCAATACATGTTGAAAAACTCTGTTGTATTATTGAAAAGGACTGCGGGTAAACCCACCTGTCTCTGGAGCTGAGCCTGCATCATCTGAGGATAAGGCTGTCCGTTGTGTCTGGGCGGTGCTGCAGGCATGCGGCCCTGGGAGGGCCCTGGCAGGCGCATGTGGTGAGCGGAGGAAGGGAACATGGGGGGCCCCGCGGCACCGTTCATACCCCCGGGCCCTCGAGGAAGCTGCTGCATACTGATGAGCCGAGGAGGCTGCACACAAGACAAAGACATGAGGAAATATGGTTAGTACTGCAAAACAGAATACATTGTATTCAATAAATAGAACAGGGTATCTACATCTAATCTGTTCATAATAACAATCATAATACATTGGTCATGTGCAACGTGGTTTCTTTATTCTTGCTCTCAGTCACAAAATGTGTGTATATGAAGGGCATATTGCGCTGGTAAACAAACTAACAGTATATCATTCTGTGAAAAAGTACATTCATATTTATTCACAGAGAGGGCTAAGAAGTGATAGTGAAGACCTAAAAACAGATTTAATACTAACCAGTGGGGCAGTTATTGCATGTTTGTTTACATTAGCAACTAAAATGAATGGTGGCAAAAACTGATTTTTTCCAGATATTATAAAGAGAGGCCCGCAATCTAATGCTTTGGGAGTAGACCGTGCATTGAAGGTCCATCTTTTAGTTTCATTGTTGGAAAAAGACGATCCTCAACTGTACACGCGCCCAAAGCCTCCAGCATGTGAATATCACAGATGTGCAGGGGATCACATGTTTAAGTCAGGCAAAAATAAATAATAAAGATTCTTTCCAAATTCCAAAATTGGTTACATTTCATTCTGTTTCAATACATACATTTAATTAGATCTTAATATTTTTTATTCAAAAGATTTTTTTAATGATTAACTGGTATATATCACCATTTAAAATGAATGCAGCTTGAGGAAAAATGAGGAGAAACTGTTAGAGTTGGATTGTGCTACCTGTTGTACCATAGAAGGACCTCCTGGCCGGGGATGCGGCTGGGACATTTGTGAGGCCAGTCTCATCTGTTGCATCTGCTGTTGTTGCTGCTGATGTTGTTGTTTCTGGGCGAAGGCGGCCTGCTGCATGTGCTGCAGTCTGAGCTGGGCCAGGTTTATTTGACCTGGGTGTTTGCCTGGATGCACCTGCCCTGGAGGAAGAGGAGGGCCGCCACCCACCACAACGTTCTGAGGCTGTGTCACAGGCGGTGGCTTCTCAATGACCAGATTACCTACAGACAGAAAAGAAGCAATTGCAATAAATAGCTACATGATGACCTGAAAAATGTATCTATTAATTCATTATAACAAGTTCACTCACCTAGATTCACAACATTTTTGGCCCAGAACGTAGGGTCACAGAAGAAACGTACCACTCCATTGGACTGAGGTGGGGGTTCTACCCTGGCCTTAAAAAGCTGGCGAAGCTGGAACAAAATCTAATCAAACAGAATTAAATCAGCTTTAGTGCTCTAGTAAATGGGATGAACTAAACTTTAACCACAAGGTAACAGAACTGTTGAAGTGGGTCTCATACCAGTCTCTTGCTGTAGAGCAGAGCAGTGCTGCTGCCCGTGGTGATGGCCCAGTGACAGAAGTTTAGCACATGGTGGATCTGATGGGCCAGCTGAGTGGTGTCCTTGTGCATAGCTGCTAGACGCAAGCTGCGCTCTTTGGTCAAACCCTGAAATACACTCTCATTTTACATCTCAGAAAACATATCTCAGGGCCCACAAAAAATGAAAATAAAATGTACTGCCGAATCTAAAATAATTAAACCTAGAGCTATCACAATCATGACATCGTGATATCATATATCATATCACGATAATTACTATATCAATTTCACATATATGAAAGTTGGAACAATATATTTTGGGGCTCAATATTTATTGTGTGTGCAATTTATTTGCAATCGTGGGGAGATTATTGCCATTTTATGTAATAGCATAAGATTTGAGCTGTAGAGGGTACAATAAGTGACTTTTGTGGCTAATTATTGTTTCATCCAGCTATTTACTGCATCGCATGCCTTCTTATGATATGGTATAAAATAGTTTCAATATTGTTGCAATATATCTTCAAATTTGTTGCTAGGCCTTACTATACCTAGTGAAAAAAAACCCTACACAGAACACAGTACAGAATAGTAGCTCTAATGAGCAGAGTTGTGGCTAAATAAGACGGATATCTTACCTCTAACTGCTGCAGTAGGGACTTCCCCTTCTTATTGATCTCATTTATCAGAGTAAACACTGCAATTTTAATCTCATGCTCCACCTTCTTGTGTGTCTCATTAAGCTCTTTCAACCTGGATGAATTAGACAATAAAACTCATCTTAAAAGGCAGGCACCATGGAAAAAGTGTAAAACCACTCTAGTAAAAACAGCATGATGTGCAATTGAACAGAAACTCATACCTGCTTTGCACCTGAGACACGGTGAAATGGACAAAGTTCTTTTTTTCTTGAAGCTTGGCCATTGTGGCTTCGATCATCCCCTTCTGATTCAGGAAGGCCTCCTCCAGAAACTGGTACCTAAAGTTAGAATATAGAGGAGTTACTGGAATAGTACACACATCTTAAAAAAAAAATAAAAATAAAATAAAAATGAGGGATACACTGATCCCAGTATTGGGTATAGGATCAATCCCAGGATCTCTCATACTCATCAGTGTGGTGCCGATATCAAGAACCTGTAATTTCATTTGTCTGTAATCAGATGTGTGTGTTACTGAATTTGTGCATGTGTAACTTGTTTTGTGCGTGCATAACTGGATACGTGGGTGTGTAACTGGATTTGTGTGTACGTAATTAGATTTGTGTGCGTGTAATTTGATTTGTGCGTACGTTATTGGATCCATGTGTAGTTTGATTTGTGCGTGTGTAGTTTAATTCCTAATGTTGATAATAGTATAAGTAGTAGTAGTAGTTGTAGTAGTAGGCAGTAGTGGCAGTAGTATTGGAAATAGTAGTAGCTGGATTGGATATTATTAAAAGTTAAATTCAGTAGTAAAGCCTGCAAGTCTGAACACAGACATTTTTTGTTCAGTTTGATCAATTTAGACACGCACAAACCCAGTTACTGCCTGCACCTCATGCATATCAAAGTATCAAATACTAAAGGTGCTTTGACATAGTATTGGATTTACACACAACTATAGAGTTTTTAGTAAAATTTTAATACCACCCCTCAAATAAGTATAAGTTACTTGCATTTTAAATAACCATAATAATAATAAATTCATTAGATTCATCACTATAATAGGACCCCTGTAAAATAATGCCTTGTATAGGTACTCAGTATCAGCAAGTACTCAAAATGAAGTACTCGCACCTAAAGTGGTATTGCTGCATCCCCAATTAAAATATATGAGATTCATTACTTTCTGATTTAGTGTGTGGTTATAAAATCATAACAATCAAATATTTCTTCTAAACAATTCATAAACACTTAAGTGAGTGTGTGAACCACAGAAAGCCTCCTAATAAAGATGCATTTGTTGTGGTATTGTCTCTGCAGTGAGGGGGCTGTACCTGTGCTCCTTGTGCTCCAGCAGCTGACAGTCTCGACACGTGAGAGTGTCACATGTCTCACAGAACAGCTTCAGGTGCTCTTGTTTGTGGATGGGACAGAACACTGGTCTCTGCCCTGATGTTCCCACAGACTCTGTACACATAGAGAAGGAACAACAGTGATGTTGTAATTGTACATTGAAAATGAATAAAGACAAAAGAAGACACACAAAATACTATAATACAATACAATATATATTGTCTACCAAGGGAGAAAATCATTCTTGGCTCATCACCACATTAAAACATCACTAAAACATATCAGTAAGCCCACCCGTGGGGTCCAACACTATAGACTCGGCTTTATTCTGTGTCTTTTCTTGGCACTGTGGACTTTTCTCCTCTTTATGTTTGAACTTTGGCGTTCTGATTGGTTACTGACAGGTATATTAGATTTGCCCCAAGACCATGGCAACACATCTACACCCCCTGAATTTACCAATGTGATCCAAAATGTACAAAATGCGATCCATTCCAAAAATGTTCATCATGCCATCTTTTTATGTTCACAAAACACTGTGAATATGTTTATATATATATATATATATATATATATATATATGTGTTTAGGCTGCTAGCTGCAAGCCATCTTCAGAACCGTCCAGAATATGAACAAGATAATTACATCTACTAATTCTTTGTCTCTAAGAACAGAGTTTTGTAACACAATTTATCTCAATATAGACAGAGTCTAACGATTACATTTTCTCTTCATTACTTACTAATTACCTACCTACTCATTTACTAAAAGTTTGACTTCGTCCACAATGGCTCCTCCATAGTCGTGCACCATATGGACTACAGCAAATCACAGACTGAGCAGCACATACTTTTATGAGGAGGAAAATGTAGATCCTCATAGCACTGCTGTTACCATGGCAACAGGCTATAAGCACAAGTCTGTCTGTTCTGATTATTACCATTATTCAGCAGGTACTCTGCAGTTATAATACTTAAACATATCTCAAGTCCAGCCTTTCAAAAGCAGACAAGACAAAAGAGTACCTGTGTTAGCGTCCTCTTTGGTGCGAATGGTGTGGTCTTTTGTGATCTTCACCCTCTGATGGGCCTCGACACAGGTCTTACACAGCCACTCACCACTCCACACAGAAGCCTATTGTTCCTGCATTGTCCTCACAACTCGTGCACACCTGAACCAGAATTAAACTACATGAAATGATTGCTTGAAAACTGTACAAAAAGTCAATTAAATCAGATGATTTGGCATAATATAAATTATACAGTTATACATATAACATTTTTAAAACCCACTGTGGATAGCACTCATGGATTCATGTTGGAGACTTCAATGAATTCAAATTAAAGATATGTGTGGACTCCAAATATTGTTTGGGGGCTCAGACTTGACTTCCTATGGAACACACATTAAAGAGGGAGTCTTACGCAAAATCTACTTTTTGGAGCCTTCTGCCATGTTATAAGGTTGTTCCCTCAACAAAAATATGCCAGAAGAGGTTTTATATGTCATCTATGCATTTCTCAGTAATCTAGTGATCGCTTCTGGGCCCAGTTCAATTCAAACCCTCTGGTTAGCATCCTATCCAAAATCCACAAGCCTCATGCTCCCACATGACAATTTTCATGAAAGCATAAAACAAAACAATACACTCCAACTTTACAAACCTGATGCAATATGCAGTAGTTTCATTAGCGCAATGCACACCAATTGTAATGTGATAGCGTGCTGAAAGGGGAGTGACTTAGCACTGCGACCAAAGGGAGGAGGGAATAAGAGCATCAAAAATGAAACTGAAACTTTTAAAAAACTTAGTATGTTATGTCTTAGGAGTTAATAACCCCATAGTGCGTAATAGCAACCACTTCTCCATGTGCTGCAATAATTTGTATTTATTTAAATTATTATAGTCCTCCTTACAAGTAGTAGTTTTTATTTTTATTTTTTTTTACAACAAACACATCTTGGCTTTTTGTATATTTTGGAGACTGCTCCGCCAGGGGAATAAGTAGGGTACTTAGTGTAGTTAGCTGAATCCAAGCATACCTGCAAATATATACAATAATTATAAGATACATTAGAGAGCTTAAACTGAAATATGTTCTGCTTAAGGTTCCTAATGCAACCTTATTAAAGTGACACAAAGAAAGTTAAAGTAAGTAATTCAAATAGCCACAGGCAAATTATTAACACATAATATGTCAAACATGGAGATCTGTAGATCATGTGACAAACCTGTGCGGACTTTTCATCAGACGAGCTAGTGGCATCAGACGTGTCTTTGACAAAGTAGTTGTCAATGATGTCCAGTTGTTTGTAATCCTGGAGGCACACTGAACAGCGCATGACGTTGACTAGAAAGAGAAAAGGAAACATATACGAGTTAATAACAACATCCAATATGTATCCAGTAACTGGCTAATCAAATTTAAAGAATTATTCACTAAACAGTAGCATAATGATCATTCAATAACCAACTAGGGTCTGCACATTCAGCGCCTGTACAACTTCTCCCTGGCTTCTACTGACTCTTGTGACAGGGCGAGATGGCCTGTTCAACACTACCGGCTACACATGAAGTTTCAGACACTGATCACAAATGCTAATCAAATGAAAGACAAATTTGCATTATGAAAAGCTGCTGCACTTTCATTCAATGCAACACGATAAAAATCTCAGAACCAAAGCTGACAGTAAGCATAGTTGGTATTCTGATATTTCAGCAGTTTAGGTAGATTTTCTTTGTAGATACAGTATGATGTGATTTATTTAATTCACACTTGCAGCTAAAAATTAATTTCAACAGAATTTACAACATTAAAATCAACAAAAGACAATAAAATATGTTTTACATTTAAAATTTATATTGTACAGTCTGTGTTGCTCTGCCCACAGCAGTCAGAGTCTGAAAAGTTTCTCAGTTGCCTCTGGAAGCTCGGTGCTCTAGTCTGAGGGAGCAGCTCTTGCAATGTGGTGTTTTTTTGACATAATGGACAAAAGACTATTTGCAAAGCACTTTCATGTTTGTGGATATTAGGGATGGACATGACTAGTCAACTAATCGATAATTGATCATAAAAAATTTCATCGATCAACGTTCATTTCGACAAACTGAATGTAGGTTCCTGTGCGTAGCGTGTATGTGTATTTTCAGTAATGGACAGACTGAGAGGTACAACCAGACACTGTGTAACTCTCTCATCAAATACACCAACGAGCACCAAACTGACTGGGATCGTCACCTCGCCCCTGTCCTCCTTGCTTACTGTGCAACACAACAAAAGTCTAGCAAGCACAGCCCCTTTTTCCTTGTGTACAGTCGCAAGCCCAAGCTCTCTGTGGAGTTCGACATCCCAATAGGCGACACAGACAGTCCAGAACCTGCCTTTCAGGATCAACTTGAGCAGTGCATCCAGTCCTTGGTTAAAGTCTTTGACGCCACAGAGACCTCCAAGGTCAACATCACAAAGGCACAGGCTAAGCAGAAATAATACTTCGATAAAGCCCACAAGACCCCCCTCTTCAAAGTTGGTGACAAAATTCTTCTGAAGAATAGGCGCAACGTCAACAGGTGTGGTGGCAAGCTGGAGCCTTGCGTTACTGGCCCACACACCATCACAGCAACACTGAAAAAAGGTGTCTACAAACTGAACAGCATCAAGCAGAAAGTGAACATCAAACGCCTCAAGCCCTACATCTCCCGCGACAACACACCTGCTTCACCCTCCAGGAACCCTCCTTCCCCAGCTTCAACGCCAGCACCCAGCTCATCTTCAGCCACCAGCCCACCTCCTACCAAGCCTCAACGCAAGCCTCGCAGCAAGTCAACCAAGTCAACCAATTCACCCTCCAAGTCTCCTCCTCAGCCCACCTCGTCACCTCAGCCCACCTCTCCAACCCATGACTCAGAAGTGGAGACGACTGTGGACTAGAGATGCGCGGATTGCGGTTAATCCGCGGGTCGGGTGGATGACGTGACGAAAAATTATATTTTAATTAAATTCGGGCGGGTGGCGGTTTAACTACTGAAAAAAAAAAAAAAAAGTTATTGTTAGTATTGTTACCTACATCTGAAAAGACGAGTCTCATTGTCTATGCTTGTAGTATGAAGTGTACGTCATATCCTTAATCAGCCCATTTGACCTCGTGTTTATGTTCTGAAGGTTAAGGTTGTGTCGGGTTATTGATAGCCTAAGGTTTACGAGGCACATATTATATGCAGTTTATTTTATTATTTCTAATTTATTTCAGCTGTTTGCCAACACGTAAGTGGCTATAGGGCCATATTTATTTAGTTATGCATTTTTTATTTTTTGATATCAGATATATTTTAAAACACGCAGACATTATAGCGTAGACTGCCACTCGGGGTATTTAAAACTTAAAGAAAGACCGATGGAGTGAGGCTATGACTTTGAAATAACATCGGGCAATCTCAGAATGTTCAGAATGTAACAACATCCAACACGAAGGCAAGAAGGTTCAAAAATAGCCTAGTCGGAAAACGTTGTCAGTTAATTAGCTGCGCAAGAAAACCAGGTAAGTTTGGGGTTGTTACGGACAATTAAGCATGCGAACATACACGCTGAGCAAATTTTGGAATGAATGAGCTATAGTTTGCATTTTTATCGAGGCTCCTTAGTTTGTTTGCTGTATGATTGTTCTAAAATCTAAAATCAATCGGCGGATGGCGGGCGGGTGCGGTTTTGAAAACCTTAGGTGCAAAATGGACAGCGGGCGGATGATGAGTTTTGTGTCACGGTTGCGGATGAAAAAATAGCCCATCCGCGCATCTCTACTGTGGACCCTGTTGAGTTCATGGACTTTATACCCGTTGACTCAGCATGGCAGGCAGACCATGCTGCTGCACTTCACCACAAGATCCCCAAACCGCTCATCCAACGAGAGACAAGGAACAACGTTCCAATATTTCAACCACCCAGTGTAAGACACTGTGTGCGTGGGGATGGGAACTGTTTTTAGGGCAGCTTGTGTTTTTTGACTGGGGCTCAGTCAGAACACAAATTTTTGAGGGCCAAGACTGTTCACTATATGTTGTCACACAGTGACATCATAGTCACCCTAGCCCACCAGCAGAAGTACCTGCCCACCTCCAGCATGGAGGAGAATGGCACCTTTGCCACAGAGAAAAGATCTTCACCCTGGCCTCCATGCTACAGACTAGCATCTGCACTTACGCACCCTGTGGCATAGATACTTTCAAGTGGCTCACCTACCACCCTGACCCCAGGCTGCCAGGACTGACCCCAACGATGAAGACCATCTACCTCAGCAACCAGTACACCCACTTTGACCAAGCCTATGATGTGTAAACTCTAAGATAAAGACAACTGCATTAGATGAAAATGTAACATGAACATGTTAATATTTTCGTGCCTACAACATGATGAGCAAACTTAAGGCATATAGGTGTTACAGTGATTTGATACACAAAACAGGGAGTCAGTGTATGTTCAAAATGTTTTTAAATAAAAAAACAAATGTGTGATGTGTGGACATGTGTATGTTTTAAATTTGTTGAATAAATAAGTCCTTTTATGTGTGTGTTATTTTTTCCATGCATGAAAAACAGACAAACACAAAACCAACAGACTAGTTATCAAAACAACATGGCTAATAACACAATATTACTAAATTCAAGGTCATTATCCTTACAAACCATTGCCTAAATAGACATTAGGATTAAAGATTATCTGAACATAGCAAACTAAAAACCATAACAATGTAAAATACAATATAAAAAGTGACAAGATTGCTATGTATATGCAATTTTAACAATACGTTACATTTACACCAAATACCAAGTAGTTATCCATCAAAAAATTCCTTAAAAGATGAGTGAATGTTTAGCAATATATAATAAAAGTAAATTACATAAGAAATAATGATCATATAAGTAACTACTAAAGAAAAAAGGAAGGGGAGTCAAAATCCTATAGGAGTCACTTTACTATAGCGGTATGTTGACCCCAGGGTCAATATACAATTGGGGTCAAAATACTATCTCACACCGGGTATGATCGAGTTTTTTGAGTATCCCAGTTTCGTTATGGTGCATGTATACGGTATCTGGTTAGTGCGACAGGAAGTTGAGTGTGCATGCATCCAAAAGACAAACACTTTTCAGTCTTTTCATCACAACAGTAGCCAAAATAAACTGATCAACATAAATAAAGTGACTGAAATGACTTAAATAAAGAGCAGTGCTAAACCTGCACACGTATGATCTCTGAAAACATGAACCATCTCCAACGGAATATACACACAGAACAGACTCACCATCAGCATCATCAACATCCCTCTGTCACAGAGAGAACACTCATATTCCACTGAGTCTAACAGAAGCTGAACTGCATCAACGCACAAGGAAAGAGCTGTTTTTTTAAGTGCTTTTAAGTTTAAAGTGTCCTTTATGTAAAATGTAAACAAATATGTCAAAGCTGCATTAAACACATTATAATCTCAAAGGGGCTGATGTGGCTTTAGTGGTTATGGTTTATATGTTGTTAAATTTGAGTTTATTTATGCAGATTACTAATAGTAATAATACTTATGATAATTTTAATACAAAAATGTTAATCGAAAATCGATCGTTAATTCTCACAATGATAGACTAAGAAAATTTCATCTAATGCCCATCCCTATGGCATGTATGTGGGTATAAAAATAAATATATGTTAAGTGTTTGATTGGGCCTCAGGACATGTTAATTACACTTAAGGCATATGCCTTTTCCAATTCTCCTCAATATCTCAAGCTTCAGTGGAGACGGCTGGGTAAAGCAGGCAAGGTTTTGCCCAAGGGGAACACACACAGTAGAAGTATGTACTGGTGAAGCACTGTCCACTGTCGGTTTGAAATTATTTGGCTACTCTTTTTTTTTTGTCAAAGATCACCAGTTTTACCCCAACTGACAAACTGGGGAACCCAGTTATGAAAAAACAATGGGAAACAATGAACTCTCTTCCCGAACAGAAGCCTATTAATATGAGACCTTTAGCAGACTTTTGGCTCATTTCCATAATATTCGTGAGGGAATTGTAGAAAGCCCTAGCACCATGGGACCTCCATCTGTAGGGGCTTTTTGGTTTGCCTCAAGAAGATTCAATTAAATCACCTCATTTTCTATGAGAATATCATAATGCGGAACTAAATAGCCAACAGCTTTTCACTTTATTACTTTAGTAAAACTTGGTACAGGAATTAGAGCTTTTTGAGCATTTTAAAGGTTAATTCACTTAATTGGGCACATATAAAAAATAAAAAAATATGCCCCCCCCCTCCCTACATAAGCCAGTAAGTCCTCTTTCAGTCCAGCCAGCTGAGGTTTAAACTTGATTGAGCTGGTTCAAACCGGTTTGGACTGGCTCAAACTGCACACAGCCGGTTTACAGCCGGCTCCAGCTGTGGGGGCGGTGGTGAGAGCAGCTGTATGAGCAGTGGGTTGAAGAAGCCACATGACCACACCAACTCACTGGCCTACATAAAAACTATATCTGAAGTATTAGGCCAATGCATTTAGGCATTTACTGAATCCAACAGCACAGAAAAAAACTATATTTGGGAAAATATGACTCATGTTAGAGTAGGCAGGTACTAACAATTTCTTAAATTCATACTACAATAAATGCTGACTAAGTTTAATGTTACTGTATTGTACCTTTTTCATCTTCCCTCATATTTTATTAAGTATATGGCAATTAGACCAACTGTTAGTTTTTTTTTTAAAGAAGACATTTTATATTTTTGTCTGCTATCATTAATCTATGATACATTTTGTTGTATTTTGTTAATTTTAAATCCCAATATTGATCTAAAACAATCTGATAAAAGAAACAAGTGATTTTTATGTTGGAAAATTGTGGTGTGCAGTGAGGTCCATTTAAATTACGCTGCTATAAGCATCTTCACAATCAAAGGTGCAGCATGCTGTCGACCCCTCCTTTGGATAGCCACAGATCATGCAAGTAAAGTTGAAGGTAGAAAATATATATGAATCATAGGCTTGTCTAATACCAATAACTGCAATGAATTTCTTAGTTTTTTAACGTTATTTAAATGCAATAACGTGTCCCAGGATACAACTCCAAAACATTTAAACTGTGTTAGGGCCCATTTATAACAGCTGTGAGGTAAGACACACGCCTGCCATTTTCACAAAATTACTGGAGTCAAGGATGCATCTGGAAATAACAGTTTTTCAATCATAACTATTAACTACATACTATATTTAAGTACATAATAAAACCTTAGTAAATAGTTGTATTCAAAGATTATGCATTTGTACATCTGTAGACACGCAGCAATGTTGCTCCTCCTCTGCCCCCTCCTCCTCTGCCCCTGTCATTAATATCAAAATTGAGTTTGAAATTGTAGTACTGCGACATTATTAAATGGAGCTGGTGTAAATCAGCCTTTCGCCCTCCCAAACAAGTCGACATGCTTTATAGTTCAAAGTCAGGTACAAGGTCAGCTCTGAAAAAACTGCAAAGATACCAAGCCCTGGGAACAAGATTTTAAGTTTTAGGTTTGAAATGCTGGCAGTAAGTTATAACCAGCAAAAGTTTGAAGAGTTGACAACATTTTGCCTCAGAAAATGCACCCTCAGATGAAACTTAATGAAAAGTTAGAATACAAGCATGTCAGTTACATTTATTCTCATATGCTGCCACAAGGACAATGATAACTCAAAGGTTATGCATTATACATGTACATGATGAAGTTAAAAACATCTATCTGTTAATGCAAGAAATATCTGTCTGTGTCTCCTCTTATTTGTCTGATCCACACATAACTCTCAAACCACTTGTCTGACTGATCTCAAATTCGGAGGGTGTGATCCTAATGGGACGGGTGTGTGCAGTGCCACGTTTCATGACATGAAATATATATTCATGAAATGAGTGATATATTTTAAATGTAAACAACTTTTGGAATCTCTCTCCTGTCTCCTAGCAACATAAAATCCATAACATTATTTCATTGTTACTTCCTGCTTCCTGCTCCTTTCACCTGATATCACTAAATTCAACAATACAGCAGCACAGCCCATGACGACACGGGTCACATGACGACACGGGTCACACGACGACACGGGTCACACGACGACACGGGTCACACGACGACACGGGTCACACGACGACACGGGACACACGACGACACGGGTCACACGACGACATGGGGAAGTGTAGCCAGTGACAACTTCTGAAGTTATCGCTGGTTACCCTTGGAATCCGTAAGACTTCCACAGGCTATGCACAAGTAAGGTTCAAGCATAACATTGATTTGCTGCAGGTCTCTGAGAGGAGATGGAGAAGAGAGAGACAGAGAGAGAGAGAGACTGGTCTGTAATTGGACGAGACAAAGCAGAGAGAACGAGACAGAGTAGACAGAAAGAGAAAGAGAGAGAGAGAGAGAGAGAGAGAGACAGGATTGTGAGAGGAGATGGAGCAGAGAGAGAGAGACAGGTCAGGGCCAGCCCTAGGGCACAGCGCACACACTAACATTTTTGTTAAATGGCATTGTTTAAAAGTCAGTATTGTGTATGTTCAGGAAATTAAACTTCAAAGCCATTTCCATTTTTTAAAGAATTTAAATATGACAAAAAACATTCTTATTGTCTCAAACAAGTAATCATAGCTAGTGATTTTGGGGGGAAATGGCTTTTTGCACTATAAAAAAAAAAAAACTGGAATAAGAGCAAAATCTGTCTTATATCTTATCAAATTACTCACCACAAACATAGGGGCTCCATCATATAAGACTGTATCTTATCTCAGGAGTTAGCTGACCTTGCCCAATCCAGCTAAAGGTTTTATATAGTTCTGCCTGACTGTATATTTGCTTCAGACCAGCAGTTATTCACTGTGTGGTGGCTAACACAACTGCTAACATCCATTACAAGTTAATAACTAGTACTATTCTGTAGTGCTCTGCAAAAGCAAACTATTGTAATCAAAGAAAAGATTACCGTTAGTCCTTTGACACCCTGAGTTAGGAAGAACTACTGCTACTACTGAACTACTACTACTACAAACTTAACAATGTTTTCTTTTAATAAGACAAATGTATAAAAAGGCTAGAATGATGGTGATAGTAGTTGTTGTGGACTAGACCAATACTACTGCTGTATATGTGTATGTGTGTGTGTGTGTGTGTGTGTGCGTGCTCGTGTGTGTGCGCGCACAATACAAAATGTGCATTATGCAAATTTGCTGGTTTACTATTTCTGCAACCAGTAAACAAATGGTCCAACTACTGACAGTTTCTGCAAGCTATGTGCCCAGAGCAATGAAGTAACAACAACACTGTCTCTGAGTTCAACGCCCTTCCCCAAGTACAATTTGTCTTGCAAACTGCAAACTGCCTTAAGAGCACAACATCTCACATTCACAAAGTGACCACTATGAGCTGCCTAGTCAATAGTTATTACTTGAATGTGTTGCAAAAGATGGAGTTTGTGTTCTGGGATAATTTGGTTGTTCTATCTTCTAGATCAAAATATTCAATTCTTCTGTTTGACTTGGAACTCTACCTGTAATTAAACACAAAGGCTAGGATGTTTTCCACACACCTCAAACAGGACTGTACCATCAGCTTATTGTGAGGCACTGTTTAGTTAGTAGTAACAACACATATTCAAGAATCCACGAATGAAAACTTTGAACGGTAAATCCATTTACTCTGGGAAACTCAAGACATAAAAGGACCAATCAACTTAATGTACAGGGAACTGAAGTTCAAATAGACTCAACCATGTTTACAGTCTATGTAGATAGGTTAGGTTGTACGTTGAAAAAAAACAACAATAGATTAGGTAGATCCTAACTATGGCCTCAGGCGACCTGGTTAACTGACGCAAATTACTAAACAGTTATGTCCAACTGATGTGCAAAGCCCAAATACACATCTGCAGTGTTTCCCATAGGTTTATACAAAGACTATGGTGGTACAAGAGATTCATATTTGAATAATTTTATTTAAAATAATATTTTGGTGTATAAATGTCACATACTACTGTGTTTACTCAACAAAAAAAGAACTGATTACAGATTAAAAATTGTCATTTCTATAGGTTTATGATAATACTACAAGCATAAAATTTATTTTACCAATTTTGCTTAGATAGTTTTTAAGACTATGGGGAGGTCTCCTATATTAATGGGAAACACTGGCCTGGTTTCTGGCTCAATGTAACATATGCTAATTTGAATTATTCAATGTGTTGACCACAAACCTATAGTCCTCAATCGGGCCTCTTTCAGTCTGTGTTTCAATATGGTTAATACTCCTTGTTTACATATTAATCACGTGCTTCTACGGCATGGTCCACGACCATAAAGTCTGGCACTTGCAGTAAAAAATTAACCTGAGGCAAAGAGTAATGCAGGTTCCCACATCTGGCATAGAACCTGTACTCTGGTCTATAGGGAAAAAATATTATATATATGTTGTAATTTTTGTGTTTTATTTGATCCATGTGTCTTTGCGGATGAAACGTAGTTTGACTCTGCGGTGGGAAAACTGCGTAGAAAAGAAAAGCTAACGAGATGTGAGTAACAAGTGAGACGAAACGAACAGTGAACAACTTACCAATGTGAGTGTCCGTGTGTCCGTGTGGTCCAGGCACCTGCACGCTGACCTGTCTGTCCGGCTGCGGGATACACTTGAGACAGAACGAGTGCAGACACGGGAGCAGTTTGGGCTCACAGTCTCGGTTCTGAAGACTTTGTTTACACACAGCGCACGTATCCAGTAAATTTATCGGAGCGGGAACCGGCGTGGCCGCTGGAGCTGTAGGAGGAGGAGACATTTCAGTGCTAAGTCCGCCAGCAGGAGCCTCCTCGGCGGCGGGGATAGGTTCTGTTTCCGCAGGCTCTGCATTGGTACCGGCAGCGGTGTCGGTTGGGCTGGTGGTACCGCTAGTGCTCCCGTTCCGCTCGGCGTCTGCTCCCGCAGTAACAGCAGCTCCACTGCTAGCGTCTCCTCCGCCACTAACGGGGGGAGGCGTTTGTTCTGTGGTTTCACTGGACTCCGTACAAATATTGTCCTTATCATTCGAGGTGGGTTCTGGTGAAGCCTCTGTTTTGATTTCCGACAGCTCATTTTTCTGTACTGTAGGCGCTGGATCCGAATTAGCGGACGGGTCCATCTCCTCCTCGCCTTTGTTGTCCGCCATCTTCCTTCCTCTTTGAACCGATGCACGTACGGCGTAACTCTAACCACGTGCCGGCGTAATGACGTCAAAATATCAGATCAGCATTCAAATTAAAGGTACACTGCGTAACTTTTCTAGTGGGTGCTTGTCTCCATGGAGATTATTCAAGTTTTGCCTGAAATGTTCCACAGTACGTTATTATTAAAATATAACAAACTGTGAGCCGTTAAGCAGCCCAATGCCTGTGGAACATTCCAGACAACAAACAAAGCAAGAACACAACAATTATTTTTTGTTTGTTTGTTTTTTTCCTTTTTTTTTTTAAACGGACTTTGGTCTTCTTTTGTCAGGCCAAAGCTGGCAGACTGTCGTACTGAGAATACAATCTAATTACAGATGGCAGCTAAGGTAATGAATATGTTATGGAACAAAAATCAGACTTCATCATGATTTCATCATGACTTCATGAATTGATGAATAGATTACACTATAAGTTAACACGAGTAAGTCATATGAGCTTGTGAGTTAAAAATGCACTTATTACTATTTCCTGTTTGTATTTTCTGTTCCATTATAATTTATTTGTGAAACTGATCATGATTATGCTGAATTCCAAAGTTTACATGAACTCATTATTAACCAGTCATTACTGTATCATGATGATCATGATCATAATCGCATTTTTTCTAGGTGCTGCTAAATAAATTATTTAAGGTGTTTTAAAAAACGGTTGACTAAAAAAGAGAAATGAAAGAAGTAGTGTTGTGGAAATGATCTGAACAATAGTACCACAACACACAAGACTGCCTGCTGGTTTATTATGTCTGAAATCGGTAAACAAATTGTTCTACTACTGACAGTTTCTGCTAGCAGTGGACCCAGAGCAGTGGGGTAAGAACAGTAATATTGTCTCTGAGTCCAAGTCTTTCCCCAAGTAACATTTGTCTTGCTGGTTATTTATCCTGTTTAGCTCAGAGAGGCTTACATTAGCATGTGAAATCAAAGAACAGACATGTCAATGAATACACAAAAGGTACCTGCCTCCCTGTGTTATTAACAGATAAAACACAGTTTGAGAACCACTGACCTAGAATGTTCTGGCTGGCTTTAATCATAAGTACTTCAAAATGGAGATACCACATTTTACAGTAAAAAGGTCTATTTACAGAGTGAAAATGTGTTTATTATTTCACTTATTCTAAAGCTTGTTTACTTTTTATGTTTTTGTAATATCCTAAATATCCACTAGGTGGGTTCAAAACCATTAGATTGAACCGGATATAACTTTTTCCATTTCCGCTTGGCCAAGTGCGAGGAAGCAGAAGTGGCGGCGTGAGAGAAATCCTCTCTGAAAAGAAGCGATATAAGTTCACAGAAATGGCCGGGACAGCGTCAGTGGCTGGGGAGGTGTTTGTGGATGCTCTTCCGTACTTTGACCAGGGTTACGATGCCGCGGGAGTCAGAGAAGCGGTGAGTTTTTTAGAGGCACAAGCGTTAGCCGCCACATGCTAACTAGCTCGCAGTCTCATTCATAACCATAGACAGTTTGCCAACAAGAAAAGAGACGCGTGACTGCTAGAAATACACGTAGTAGTTAAGCTTGCTTTAATTTTACAAAACCAAAGTTGCGAACATGATAATAATGACTGGACTTTAAAGTTCATCTATGCGGCCAAAATGGCACGTTTCATGATTTGGTAATATGATTGGTTATGTTAATAAATTCTTTATTAACCTAACAAATTCTCTACTACACTGTAAAAAATACCAACCTGTCTGCCTGGGGAGTCTGTTGTAAATTCTATAAGTTCTGATGCTTCTATTCTTTAGTGTCATCAATACAATATTTTTTACATTACATATGTGTGACTATGGGTATTTAATGTTCCCATCTTTTGTTACTTACATCATGGACTCATAATATCTGGATCAAGTAATTCTGAGTTTAATCATGGTTAGGCTGCAGCGCTTGTGGAAGAAGAAACCAGGAGATACAGACCCACCAAGAACTACCTGAGCTATTTACCAACACCTGACTTCTCTGCTTTTGAGGTAAATTCAGTAATTATTATTGTGATTAAGATATGAATTGGTGGTTTTCAGATTATAGATTGTGATGTGATGTCATGCTCTTAGATGGGCGCTAAGAGACAGTTTTCTTTATAAACTTATGAAAGATATAAAATATCCAAAAGATAAATTCACAGATGTTGAACCTGATCATTTCTTTTTGTGACTAGAACCTGTACCATACCACCACATAACAATACATACAACATCTGAAACCTAGCAGTATGATCTGGACATACAGACTGTATTCTCTTGTATGATTTAATACTGTATGTTAAATTCTTTAGACCGAAATTATGAAGAATGAATTTGAGAGACTGGCAGCTCGACAACCCATGGAGCTCCTGAGCATGAAACGGTAATGTTAAACAGGACAGTTGGAGGGTGCTGCCCTGCATGGAGTTATTGTACCCCTAAAATGTATTTAGTTGGTATTTTTATTAGAGCTTGGACTTACACTGATTTTTTTTTTTCATTTGTTTAGAATCTAGATAAGCTCTGCTGATATTTTTGGGACAATAAATAGGGCTGATTTCAATTTCTGTTATTTTAATTTATGACAAACTCACCTACAGTCCCTTTTTACCACAAACCTTCAAGAGGGCTATGTAGTCACATTTTTAGCAGTCATTAATTTGCATTGAAGTGTACAAATTAAGATTTAAGTGTACTCTTTAGGCACCAGGTTGGCCAAAAGAAAATATCGGCCTGTGCTGATGATGTAATGCTTATAGATGATTCGGTAAAAAATGCTAATATCATCCTGATATATTGGTCTATCTCTAATCTTTAATTCATTTACTTAATATTTGTTTTATTATTTGTAGATATATTATTAATATTGTTGCTGTGGGGTGTGCGTGGTTGGCCGTTTGTGGGTGGGGGTAACAGAATGTGAGATGACAATGTATAATATTGACAATGAACTAAGTGGGTTTAAAAAAAAAACCAACAACAACAAAAAATAACTTTGAATTATTTTTATAATAACACTACTTTGAAATTACTTTCAAGGTATGAGTTGCCAGCACCCTCTTCAGGTCAGAAGAATGACATTACAGCATGGCAGGAGTGTGTGAACAATTCCATGGCTCAGTTGGAACATCAGGCTGTTCGCATTGAGAACCTGGAGATCATGTCACAGTATGGGACAAATGCCTGGAAAGTCTACAATGAGTAAGTAGCTACAACTGTTAAGATTGTATCTATATCTCTGACTGCAAATACAGATGGATAGATAAATATTTTATTGATCCCCCAGAGGGGAAATTCAGGTATCACAGCCTATCTCAGGCGCATCTTTTAGAAAAACAATACAGCATAACATGAGGACAGGAGGAAGCGAAAAAAAAAAAGAAACCAACCCCAGACCATGCTCCTGTGGGGAGTATAATGTGGAACCAGGACAAAAAAAACCTCTGCGACATAAGTTCATGATCAAACACAGTACAACATGGTGACTTGCAAGGGTAGGGGAGTGGGGGGTGGAGTTATAGGCTATACAAAAACACAATACAGCAACGAAGGCGTGGGATGCGGGGTGGGCCTGGAGATGAGCTCTGCCTGACACTCAATCCATGGAGAAAACATTTGTGAGGTCCCAGACAGAGTCAACATCTGCAGGTGTAAGTTTGAGTGGGAAAGGAATGCAAGAGGGTCTCCCTGCCATGTTCTTCCGAGGGAGTTGTTTGTTCTAGAAGCAGCCTTGTCCGAGGCCAGTGCTAGATGAGGAGGGAGGCCAAAAGCAGATGATGTTCAGGTTGTTTGAGTTTAGGGCAAGTAGCCGCATTTCAATTCCCATGACTACTCTCTTGTCCATATCTCTGTATATATCAATTTGTCTATGCAGGGCTGTGAGCTGATGTTATCTATATTGTAGTTTAAAGTTTATAGCCACAATTCGAGTGCTGACAGCTCTGCCCAGTGTTCTAATCAAACCGGGCAGCCTAGTGGGGCTTTAAATCAGGGCCATGCCTAATCCAATCAGCAAAAGGCCTGAAATAATGGTTCTGAATATGTAGATGTCTTCAGTGTCCTCCATGGAAAGAGCTGCCAGACACACAATGCACCACTTCTCCCAACTGTCCAATGTATGCCGCGAACGTCCTGGTAAGGCAGTCTGGTTCCCCTGAACCCAAGTTCCTCATGTCAGTTGTACTGAGAGACCAACTGATCAAATCCATGATTAATTTTAGGTTTGGAAGAGCAGGGTGGAGAGAGTCTATCAAAAGTATAAGACACTAGAGTGGACAAGAGAAGCGAAGCAGGGAAGATAAGTTGCGAAGATGCGACCGTCTTCGAGAGCCAGAGAGAAGAGCTTGCTTAATAATTATTTTTTAACTTTTTTTTTTTTTTTTTACAGTAACTTGGCCTTTATGATTGAGATTGCGCAAAAGGAACTACAGAAATTCAGGTAAAAATTGGTTTTAGTAAAAAAGTGTAAATATAATGTACCCTATTTACAGATATTTATTACAAATATAAAATATTTACTTTTGCAGAAAGCAAATACAAGATCTCAATTGGCAAAGGAAGAATGACCAGCTGACTGGAGGAGCTAAACTACGAGAACTTGAATCAAAGTATGTTTAAACAACTGCATTTCTCTTGATGGCCAGATGGCCTTTACTGTGGTGTGTTTGACATTTGTATGTACTTTTATCTTTCTGTAGCTGGGTGTCTCTGGTCAGTAAAAACTATGAGATTGAGCGTGCCATTGTTCACCTGGAGAATGAAGTGGCTCAGCTCAAACAGCAGCAGGGGGAGGAGAATAAAGAGAATATTCAGCAGGACTTTTGACAATGAACATTTCTACAGACTGGAGAACAACACCATATGGAGGCAATTCAAACGGGACTTATGCCATTGTGAGGCTGAAAGAATGAATGAATATTGGTTTATAGTTTGTGCTGAAAGTTACTGTAAATATTTTTTCAAAGTTGTCTTTTTTATATAACGTCAATAAAGTGGACTGTGAGTCTTACAAATCTGGGTGAAGGAAGTGGTGTGTTTAATCATCTGACCTGTAAAAAGTTTTGACTTAAGTGGTTGGAGACATTTTATTTTGGCCATTTTATTTACCGTACTCTTAATGCAATGTAGCGTCCTGCATTAATGTACTTGTTACCTGACCCCTCATAGCTCTAACCACCATGGAATTACATGTTTTTAGTAGCCTGTACTGTAAATTAAGATAGTGTTTTAATTTAACACTTCCAGCTGTTTTATATCATTGAATAGGTGTGCAATGTAGATTAGAAATGTCCAAAAAGCCAAACAGAATATAATATCTTATAATAGTCTTTATTACAGAAATACAATATGAGCCACAGATGTGACTGCAGTGCTGGGCACTAGTGGAGCGCACATTTGAAAAGTTCACCCTGTTTCAAAATCATTTTTCCATACTGTCAAACCCAGTTCCTTCAAAGGAATTACGTGGGTTACAGTGGCTATGGTTACACGCACACAAAAATCTGATATCTGTGATCAGAGTGTGCATGTAACCGCATCTACTGACGATAACCTATTCTTAAAGAGCAACTGACATAACTGAAAATACAAAGTAAATTGTGCAATATTGACAGAGGGGTTCAGAACCTTTCTACAAAGATTCAGTCACGGGGTCAGCCCATTCATACATTGCATGTTCTTTCTATCCCATGGAAGTGTGCATATCCAACTAATGGAAACTGAAAAATTAAATATGGTTCTTCAAATCAATAGCAACTGTGTAATGGTTAATGGTGGTGATCAGGGGCTCTCGATCAACTATCCTCGTTTTACCATACACGAACAATTTATACTGTGGAAAGAAGGTTGCTACTGATATACTTTTCAAAATAATGTAATCTGTAATCATTTAAACTTCTATATTTTGGCTAGGTCTGTGATGAGCAGCGGTTAGCCAGTACAAACAGAATTATCATCACATATTCATGCAAACTGCAGATTGCAACTAGAATTGATTTCTGAGCACATAATACCTAAACAAATGCTTGCAATACCATCAAATACTGTTGGCTACTTCTGAATTTGGGCAGATAAAAACAAAGAAAATATCCTAGGAGAATACAAAATTAAACAAAACAAACTTGCCAGTTGACAAAAATTGTTACTCCTAAAAATTATTGCCATTTAAGGGGAAACAGCACAGCATTTTCCCCTTTCCTCTTTGCTTATACATTTGAATAAAAAAAACACAAAAGTTGAAATAACGTAATACCGTGGCGGTAAACAGACAACATGGCTGCCCATGACTATCTGCATGGTAAAGCAAGGACCCCGGCTTGAAAAGGCATTAAGGATCTGACCAGCATATGCAACAAAATCACCCCTTCATACATTCACCCACAGACTCAAGTTCGCAGGCACCTTGATACTGTTTAACAGAGAAACTACATGGTTCTCTGGAGGAAAAGTCATTGAATGTGATTTAGGATGTGCAAAATGTAGTGAGTATCTGTAGCAGCAGCAGGGGCCTGATGGTTTATAAACTCAAGGTGTTGAGAGCCGGTACTAAAGTCACAGCGTCTGGCAGGTTCTGGTTCTGGTCTTGTAGACCTTTTTCCTGGAGAACCTTTTGACGATGACGCTCCTCCTGTCGCTTCTTTTTCTCCATTCGCTGTTGCTCTTTCCGCTGTTTGTTAGACACCTACAAAACAAATTAAACTGTATCCAGAAATGTATTTGCAAAAATATAATTTGTCACTAGACACAATATGCCCATATGTAAGTAATAATTATAATGCAGACTGCAGAACATAATATTGTTTTGCACTGAAGAAGTGTCAAAGATGTGACAAATTTTATAGCAAACACAACTACAATTTGGATGGTGCATTTTTAATTATTTTTCTTTGACATTTCCTTCTTCTGCAGGATAAGAGACAGGACTGTTAAAACACAACAGAGTGAACGCCCAGAAGACAATGGACAATGCTGAAGGTCCAAAACTAATACAAGTTTACATGGTAAATTTATAGAAACTATTATTTTGATTCACATATAGTTTTAACAGTTCTTTTGGGGTCATGTAGGTGTCATTTACATTGCCATAATATAGTCCTACGCTTGCTCTGGTTTAAACATTTTTATCTTTTTTTTAAGTTAGTCTGGGTTTTCTTACAAAACAAAATTTAGAATTCAGCATCTGGAGACAGTTTTGGTTATTCTTTTGGTGCCAATAAATCATTGCGCCTTGCCTTGGGTTTCTGTGCGTTGTTGCCCTCTGCTGGTTGTCTGGGCTCACTTTCTTCAGAAGGCGTATTATTGCAGTTTGAACAGGATTCAGAGGAGCATTGGCAGGCCTGAGCACCCAGCAGCCACTCAGCATTGATGGTAGCAGCACTCAGCTGGAGCAGGTTCTCCTCATCCCCTGCACACAAATACAAATACATCATCAGTGGATGCAAAATATGGATTACCTTCTGATACACAGTCTAAAAGAGAAGCACTTACCTGGTGTTCCTCTGTTCCTAATGGAGCTGAAGATGAGGTTTTCTTCATCTGAAGGGGAAATGTTCTTCTGTCTGTCTCTCTGACCATCACCAAATTCACGCTTTTGACCTTTTTGTAGATTCTGGAAACAACAGACACGGAGGTGAGACGGAGATTCTGTCATGTTCCTGGCTTTAGAGAAACACTGTTATTTTATGACAGAAAATAACAAAAAACAAAGACTAAATATCAGAGCACAAGTAGTCACAATGTTGATCTTTAGTATATAAATTAATCATGTAAATCAAGTAAAATGATTGTTTCATACTTAAAAATAAAAACAAAAAACTTTAAATTATAATGTGTCTACCTCTATCCGTAGCTGAGCAGGACTCTCTGTGTTGTCCCCAATCTTCCTCACACTGTCATAATGGTCTCCATATCGGTAGGCAATGTGCAGCTCTCTACACAGCTGATTCTCTGAACCATTAATCTGTGAGAAAATTTGAATTCTCATTGTTTGCAAATAAGGAAAAATCAGTAAAATGAGAAAAACACAGCCATCTGTGATTACCTCCCAGAGCGGTGTGTTAAGTTGGTGGATCACCACCTTAACTTCTTGGCTACGAGCAAAAGCTACAATGGCATCATTTCCTGCAAACGTTCCAGGCTGGGACAGGTTGGATACTACAGGAAAAACAATCCATAATATTAAGTGGACAAAATCCAAGTTGTGATATGCATTTCCACTGTGCCTTTTTGTTGTGCAATGCAATCAATCATGGCACAGTTGTTTACAAATGTGTAGCACACATTAGTTAGCTCATACAGCCATTACAAATCACTTAACCATTTTATTATTCTTTCCAGTATCACTTCTTCTTTAAGGCTATGTAAAAACAGGACAATGGTCTCCAACTCTATGAAGTGATCTACAGTGTTAATAAGTTATGATTATTTGTGGTAATAAAAACAGCAAAGTGTCACAATAAATGTTTTATATTTAGCGACCTCAAGGGGCAGCAGCAAAACCACGAGAACCTATTGAATAGACTTTATTTATAGCTTTTAATTAACTTGGCCACCCACAACTTCAAACAGGATAGGATACTCAAACAGGTTAGGAGTGTTACATGAGTTTAATACAATCATCTTTCTTTTAGTATCTGTGTATGACAGTTATTGGCACCCTATTGAATTCAGATAAGAAAAATAATGTTCCATTGACTTTTGAGGTTTTCTTTCTTACTGTGTAAAAGTGTATGTAATAGTAGCTCCTATAAACAGTTGCCAGTGCATTTTCCTGGCCTGTGCTGTCAGTTAGTAGGCGGTGTTCTTACAGTGCTGCTCAAAGGGGACATCATCCTCCACAAAAGGCTCAAAGTCCTGTCTGTGTGACTTCATGAAGTCGACCGTCTCCTGCCTGAGTCTGAGGTGAGCGCGCGAGTGACCTTCCAGCTGGTCGCCCAGAGCTCGGAACAGACAGTTCCTGTAGAGACATGCACAGATACACTGCCGTTTAGTATCTTACAGACTATTTATTCCACAGGTTCAAATTACAGGTGAAATTACTTGGCTGATGCTAGATATAACCCTGGTCTTGAAAATGGCAATACGCAGAAGCCAGAAAATAATGTTTGTGTACACCTCAGTCTTTTTCCCCTATGGCTCCTAGTAGTGTTATCACAATACAAACATTTAATAATAATAACAAATAATTTGACAGTATAAATTGTAGTTTCTTCAATATCTTATGCTAGTTCTAATTTAGAATAAGATAATTTCCAAACCTGTTAAGAAAATGTCATAATTTCTTTCAGTATTGTAAAAGTAGTATCAGTTTCAGTATTCTGAAAAGAATATCTAGTTTCCATGCTAGTTTAGTATTGATTAGTTGCTAGGTTTTAATACTTTTAACAACTTTCACTCCTATATAATTAGTCATGATTAGTTTAGAGCAGGGGTGTCAAACTCATTTTGGTCTGGGGGCCGTATTCAACCTACTTTGATCCTAAAGGGGCCGGATCAGAAAACTCATGGCATACAAACCCCAAAAATAACAATAAGTTCAAATATTTTTGTAAGGAAACGCAAATCTATTACAGAAATCTTTTTTAATTGTGGAACTCTTTCTTTTATAAAATATTATGAACAATCTGAAACTTTAAGAAAAATGCAATTTCAACACAAAGTTTTAACATGAACTTGTATGTAAATAGGATTAAGTCCATTTTTCTTGGAAAATCCTGCACTCGGCTTCACTTTTCTCATTTATGACATTTTGCTGATGAGGGTGTCACGGTCAACAGTCAAAACGATCGTCCTTTAAGAGCGTTTGGAAAGAGACAAGTCTTCATTTGTGCTGCTCTGGTGGGAGGCGTCACACACAGAGACGCTGGAGACGCTGCTATGCTCAGCGCCGCAGAAAATTACCAATATTTTAATAGAAAATATAATTAAAATATTTTAGTAGAAAATCAGCTGAGGGCCAGATTAAAAGGTCTTCGAGGGCCACATCTGGCCCCCGGGCCGCATGTTTGACACCTGTGGTTTAGAGTAATAAATGCAAGTTTGGTATATGGTATGATAAATGATGATGGCATGTGATACGCTGTGATTCCCCTTGTTATAGTTTGGTAATATTTAGTCTTTTCTGCTATTACATAAAATGTGTGTATCTTACCCATCTCCAGGAACCTCTCTGAGTTTTAGCCCCAGGGCCTGAAGCTGGTTGGAGAAGCTGAGAAACTCTGCTCCATCATCTCCATCCTGCCCTTTGTTTTTGCGATCTTTAGCAATAGCACGTCGTGCAGCCCTCTCATCTCTCTTGCGCTCTAGCTCACTCTTCTTGTTACCTCTGACCGGTTTTGGGGTCTGCTTCCTCGACATGGCTGCACTGGTACTTGGCAGCCCTGACAATTAACGAAATCTTCTGACAGAAACGTGATGGCAGTTAGATGAAGCCCTAGAACACAAAACAACATAACAGTGAAAACCACTGCAGTAGCTGTTATAAGTAAAAGTTTCAGGTATTTTATTATATTATTTTAGTTAGTAATGTCTCCTTTGTGTCTCTTACCACCACTAAAGAGTACATTTATTAACAACAGGGGATGTTTTAGCTGTGCAGTGATAGATCATAAATGCAAATTAATGAAGACTTCTGACAAGCCTAAAGAGCTAGCTGGATGAGCATAGGATATAAGAATTTCTAAAGTTCAGTAATATTTCATGGCCAAATAAGGTGTCATGTTCATGCCAGAATTTGCCTCAAAGGTTAAAGGAGGCATTTTTGGGATGTGCTGAGGTATAAGGGGAATTTATATGCGGTAATCAAAGCGCAAAAAATGGGCCAGCACTAAAACCGAATACATTAGGCTACTATTTCGGTTTTCTTATTGGGTAGCTAATACAAATAACTTTTTATTCAGATACAACTAAGACCATTTTCACAGTCGCGTCGAATTCAAAGTTAAAAGTCGTAGAATGTTTAGATGGACAATTGCACACGTTAAAAAAAAAAAAAAAAAAAAAAAAAAAAAACGGCAAACAGGCTGCTTTGAAGCAATAAAAGTATATGGAGCAAAAATGTTCAAGGATAAAAGCACCACACCAATATAAATCAAGCAGATCGTGGGCGTTAACCCAAAACTAAACACATTCGCTTTAGGTTAGCCATCACGCTAAGTTGTTAGCATCCAAGATAATGCTGACTATTACATAATAAGTCCTCATATTTCTGAATAACTTATAACCGTACATAATTTATGAACGAATCCGGTGGTAACATTGCATATTAAATCTATAACTACTTACCTTTTCAAAGCCTTTAGAGTAGACTGATATGCTATTTATTCGGTTTAAAAATAGGCTGATGATTTTCACTTTTTGTTTACAATTTCACTTCCGTATACGCATTTCCGCTAAAGACAGCGTGGACGGAAAAGGGGAAGGACAATTTAAATCACAAAAGCGCAATACAAGCATATTAAAATAAAACCTACACGTTAAAAGTTGCTGCTTATGCTACTATAAATGTACATCAAGTACCAACAGTCACATAAAGTAGTAAATCAAATGAAAATAAAAACAACATCAATAAAATCAACATCAATATGTATATATGCATTTTTTAAAAATGTGTTTATATTTGTATATTTAGATATTTATATACACACCACCAATGATGAGCTATGCAAAGAAAAATTTAAAACACAAATTAGTAGGTGCAAAGAATATGTGAAAAATAGAATCAATACACTTTAATCCTTAGACATAGGCAGGGACATGAGAAATGTCACAGAGGGGGAGAAATTTATCTGTGTAAAATATAGTATTGTTGAGACTTATTGACACATTGTGTGCACACAATCACACACATTCATGCTCATGTAGGAAATAGGCTTCAGGTATCAGTTTCCCTTTTTTCAAATTAATTCATTTGCCCATAACTGATGTTCAGATAAAATTAATTGTGTTGAACTGAAGCACCTTTGAAAGTCCATTCACAATAATGCACAAGTCTTTTTTGAAGTGTTAAAGTGCTGAGGAAGGCATGCAGCAGAAGGTCATTAGTAAACAGTACATTTAACCGAGCGGCAGTTTGTGCATACTCACATCTGTTCAACTTTAGACTCTCTCTATTTACTTCAGCCTGTGAATACCCCCTGGAGTTTTTAATTAGACTGAAGTCCAGCCTGGTTGTCCTTCTGCACTGGGGCAGGGCCAAGTAAAGGGACAAACAGTCTATGGCCTGTGGATCAAAGACTCTGCACAAATGTGATGATCGTGAGTGGAGTTTACAGTCATGCATGAATCAGTGACTCTTATATCCTCATAAAAAGGAAAGTAAAAGTTAGTGGTTTGGAGGAACATATTTTTGTCAGCTTTACTCAATAACTGCATACATTAGAGGAAGTGGGAAGAAAGGGGTTAGCAAGGGTGACCCAGCAGTCAAAAGGTTTTGGGTTGGATTCCTGAGCACTGAGGAAAATGCACCCAGTGAATGGGTAGGTTTTCTGCATAGTACCTCCCATGGCAAGCTGTATGTACAATACGATCATTTTTATATCTGACCAAGATTCTTACTTCTTTGGAAATTAATGTGAACCAACCAATGTTCAACCACTTTATTTGTGAGAGAAGACTCATACCTACTAGCGTATGCTAGTAGCTGTCCGTGGTGCTGAAATCAAGCCCTACAAAAACCTATTTTAATGTTGAATTAACTGTTTCTCAAATCTTATTTTTTTTATATTGTTGGAGTTGTTACAGAATTACTTATTATTGCTGTTGAGCTTCATAGACTTCAGATACTGTCCAGATGCTCCATTCTTGTATAGTGCTGATGAAAGCATGTCCACAGCAGAAGGCTACAACCCATTTCACTGTGTAGCAGTTTGTAGCTCAGCTTATAATGATTGCTATTTCACTTTATAAGGATAACTCATTTGCTGGGAGTCCATGTATTACACCTGGTTACCCCGATTTTTGTTACATTTAAAGTTAGTTTAGAGACTAAATTAAGTAGACTATGCGCTAACTGATTGTTAAAACATTGTTTTGGAAAATCAAAGATGCATTTTTATTCCCACAATTGAGAGATTCAGGGACTGAACAGCGGAAGTAATTCACAGTGTATGTTCTCAAGTAAACAAGCAAAGCGCACGTACTAGTAATTATTCAGGAGCTGTTGGCAGTCCCAATGGTGGCCATCCTCTTTTTTCAATCCTTTGCGTATGGGGTGTATCCTATTTTTCGAATTGTGCTTTGGGGCCTGATTTTTACCTTGCACCCCCGTATTCTGTAGATCCGGCACTGCTTAACTATCTCACTCCCAAATTCCGTATGGCTACCCTTCTACACTGGGCTATTTCTGCTTCTTCCTCCAGCCAACTCTAACAGGTTTGTTTTGTCCCATTTGTGCCCGTTTCCGCCGCGCCCGTTAAAGACACATGTCATCTACCGCCACAGACTCAACATTAAGGACATAAACGAGGCATTGCGCAGAATCCGACACAGCGCTGCAATGTCTGAAAAAGACAGTGCGGCGTGCGTGCGTGAGTCTGCGTGTGTGTGTGCGTGAGCGGGTGGGGGTGTCCAGGAGCGCCTCAGCTGCTGGGTATAACAGGGGGTTAAGGCTCGCTGCTGCTGCAGGTATCTGGCTGTAAATACACCAGCCAGGGCCCGCGCTTCGCACACCACTAGCCTATATCTACCTACTTACCTAAGGCACGGGCACGCGCACACGCACCACTGGTGGGAGTGGATGGTTGAACGACTGAACTGCTGGATGCTGGATTCACGATGGGATAATCACGCGTGAGAGGCGAGTTCCCGGGCGTTGGTGAAGCTGTGGCGGGATTCAGTTTGGACTATTTTGGAACGAACAAAAATGTGGGTCTAAATCGAGTTCGACCGGAACCTACAGAAGAGAGAGGTGGGAGCCGGTTGAGGTGCTGCAGCGAGCGACAGCGGAGAAGGTTTGGCGATTTAAGGCACTGGATTCCGAGGAGGTCTTGGTAGGAATCCCCCCGCTGCTCGAGGCTTCTGTCCCGGATGGATACAACACTCTGCATCGCTAATTAGGATCGCTCTTGGGGGAACATAACCACCAGTAACCCACAGTAGACTGCAACAGACGACTACTTAAAGCTGATCTTTTTTGCATGGAGAGGGCGCAGTGAGGGCCGTAGGAAAGGAGGAGGAGGGCGGCGGGCGGCTCCATGAGCGGCTTGGGCTCCGCATGCACCGCCGCGCTCAAGCTGAAGCCCCCGGGCCACGGTACGCGCCCGCTCGCTTCTGAGAGTTGATGCATATGATCACAACCACCATGATTTTTATGATTCTGGGCGCTTCAGTTGTTATGGTAAGACCAGAGCTAATGTTATTAACGGCATAACGTTAATTTTGGAGGTGTATCAGTATTGCCCATATGCTGTGCTTCTTTAGGCGATCGCCTGTTTAATGGACATGAACGCGCTACTAGACCGCTTTCACAACTACATCCTGCCGCATCTGCGAGGCGAGGACCGCGTCTGCCACTGCAACTGTGGAAGGTAAGCTCTCACGAAGCGCTTTTTATTTATTTATTTTTTATTTTTTTCATTTTTTCTTTTTTGGAACAGGCCCGCGTCTGTCTCCCACTCTCCCTCCATTCATTCCTTCCAGTCCGCACGGCACACCAGGCGAAAGCGCGAGGCGTCGAAGCTGCGTGCTGCATGGACGCGGTGTTGTCTCAGAGGCATATAGATCTAATGTGAGCTCTAAGAGGCCGTCCAAAACAATAGTAAACATCAAGTGGTTTCGCTCGTTCACTCTGTGCCACGGGTGCTGTTTGGAACGTACTGTTTTACTGTTTTTACGCACTCTTCAACCTGCTGCTCCTGGTGATGTGGCCAGAATGAAACGCACAAAATGCCTTCAGTGTTATTGGGGGAGGCTGCAGCTGACTCCTCTGGTCCTCAGATGCTCCATTCTGATTGGCTCATCCTCACCTCGCGCTCAGAGCCATTTGACCAGATTGTTACCGTTGGTGTGACAGAAACACCTGCACACAATGATGAGGCGCAAACAGAGCAAAGTCATGAAGCAGGATGAGTCAGTGTTGATTCAAGAACGAGGGACCAAGTTACTAAGGCTTCCAGCAATGAGGAATTGTGTAACTTAGTTAGCATAATCACTTGGCTAAAAATATAACCTAGTTTTCTGTTGTTTGGATATTTTGGTCAAGCTGATCATTTTACTTCCTGGTTGGACACTGACAGCATATGTAACATGCATAAAGGTAACTCCATAAATGTTACCTTGCAAACTCAAAGTAAACAAAGCTTGTTTAATTTAGACAATAGTTATTACTGGTAACCTACCCCTGAAGTTTTTATGGAATTTTATGTATTGATGACATAGATAGAGATTTTTAGAACTCAGTGCTACTTCTACTTCACAATCTGCCACTCGACACCGACATAAAACTGTTATATCCATCAAATTAAGCAATAATTAGAAAAAAACAAAACGTGCCATATGCACTTAAATTAATGTCTTGCCACAACTTATCTTTCTTACTACTTAGGCCTGTCTCAATAATTATTATATTGACTTATCGTTCAATATATGAAAGATGGAAATTTTTTGGAGTCAGTATTTATCATGTGCACACCTTCTTTGCACTACTGAGAAATAGTGTGTTATTTTGTGCCTATACAATAAGATTTAAGTCATAAAAGGTTGAATTAATATATTGTATGACCCATAACAGATGCAAATTACTACTAAATTCTGCTGTTTATTCAATGCAGCTTGTGTTGTGTTTTTTTGAACAGTACTGTAGATTTAGAATAGTTTTTGTGGTATAAACCTGCTCTTGGGTTTTTATGTCTTAGCTTAAATTAGTTTCAGCATTATAATCTATTGTCTATAGTTTCTTTACCAATATATCACGCTTCAAAATGTGTTATTGTGACAAGCCTACAGCTATCTTCTATTTTAAAGAGTACAGCCTGAATATCCAACTAGTTTCCTCTCAGACCATCATAATTTCAGCAGATGACAGCTGACAGACACATGTGGGAGTTGTTAGTGTAGGTAGAGAACATTTCAACAACTATTTTGGTCCTGCATGGGCTTCCTCCACCCCCTTAGACATGTGAGTGAATATAGCATGCTTGTCTCTGTGTCTTGATGTCAGCCCCACTTGCCTGATAAAAGTATTCTGCCCAAGGCCCAAAGTTACATAAGCTCCAGTAACTTGCACACCTTAACGTGAAAAAGCTGAGGGAGTGAAAGAAATGCTTTGTCTTGAATTTACCTACTTGTTAGTGCTGTTACTGTTGTTTACTTATCACTTGGAAAGCTGCATTAAACAGGAAAGTAAAGTAGACGATACATTCAAATTTCCCATTAGATTTGGTTTTGTTTCTATTAACACCAAAATAGAGCAATTTCCTGCAATGTCTGAACTCAGCACCAAAACACATGTACCCTTTCTCTGACACAGGAGTAGCTTTAGACCTTTAGAATCAAAATATACAAAGAAGAGCATTCCACAACCCTTACGTGGGGATGCACCGATCCTCTACTGGTATCAGCGTCAATATTGGTAAATAGGGACGTAACAATAACCACAATATCGTGATATCATATTTTTTTGTAAATGGTATCTCAATAATATTGTGGGCTGTCACAATATATTGAATCACACGTTAATTTGCTTAATTAAATGCAATGTTTTATAGTAGTAACAGCTAAGAAACATAGGGAACTCCATGATTCATTTCAGTGCAGACAACATGAGGAAATATGTTTTTTTTTTACTTTAATTCTTGGGATTATGACAGTATTGATTTGCATTGAGTCTTGTTAAGGTATTTTAAAAGCAATAAGTGTCCTTTCTACAGCTTAATAAATATAAAAATAAATATCGTACCGTGAGATGCGTATCGAGATAATATCGTACTGTGAGTTTTGGATATCTTTACATCCCTACTAGTAAATGTGCTGGATTGGACATAGGCTTCCAAATACTGGTTTAGTCGATGTCCTGGTTGGACATATAATTTGATGTATTAAGACTATTTACTGGCCCAGAAAGTCTCATAATGTTAGATTTTTTTATTTATACATTTTGTTTAAGGGAATTAAATGCTGTTTTCAGTCTCTGCATTGATATCGGCAGATGCTTAAAGCTGTAGTCTAAAAATCTGTATCAGAACTAAAAAATCTGAATCGGTACATTCCAATTTAAATATGAGACACAAATTTGAGTGGTTATGTAAACTTTAAGAAGCAAACTTCTGCTTTCATACTCTAGTTACCATGGTAACAATTACTAAAGATTGGCATAAAATGAGAATAGCAGTTCATGTTCATATTATGTTCATATTATTTTGTCAGTGACACTTATAACTATCCATGGGTTTCAGAATGATGAAAAATGGGCCGGTTGCCATAGCGATGAATAATCAACAAAATATTATACACTGGATGGGAAAAAGAATAATGTTACAGGCAACATGTACTAAACAACCATAACCATATTACAAAAGTCACATTCACAGGATAGAAGTGAACCTTTCCTGAATAGCTTTAGAATGATCTTGCTCTGTATCAGAACAAATATAAGGCCACATAGACTAGTATATAAGTCCACAGTTCACTATGGATCCTATGTGGAGGACTGAGAGATTACACAGATATAAGAACTCCACAAGGTAATATAAAAGAAAGTTATGTAATGATGAAAAAAACCCATCCCATTGTCTAAATAAAGGGTGTTTTATTTAGTATCATCATGGTATCACAATCAGTATTGAGTATCAAGCTTATTCCTTAGTATTAAAATCGAGTTTGAAATATAATCTTAATAATACTATTCTTAATAAAGTGTTACCTAAACTTTTTTCATATCTTCATTAGTCTGATTCCACATCTATGCACTGACAGTTCTGACTCTATACTGCCATGAAAGACTGTGCCATGTGAGTGATCAAAGATATAAGTTTATACACACCATCCTACAGTTTACAGTAGCTGCACATTTAGGCCTGCACACTGGGGCCTGTGTCTGAACTGACCTGGAAACAATAGTGGTAGCCATCTTTCCTCTCATCTCCGAGTGAAGGAGTGAGAGAATGAGGGAGGGGGAGAGTGAGGGGGTGTGCAGGTCATAGGTCACACGATCATGCCAAAGCTCACAAAGGGGAGGTGGTATTTGACGATAATGAGTTAAGGTTGAATTTGTTCCATTGTCTTGTTTGGAGCAGGTTTTGTAGGCCTTTGCTAGAGTAAGAGCTGATGGGAGGAGCTGGGGGATGATCCAGATTTTCGTTGGGAAGTGCAGTGAATTATTTATTCATTTTCAAATTATTTTTATATCACTGAAAAGCACTTTTTCTCTCAGGCTTTAAATAGAAGCGTGGAAATGGAAGAGGAAAGGCCATAGTTTTCAAGAGTTATTGGCCCACTGGCTTACAATTGGCCTATTCTTTTAAATGTTTAAAAAAATGTTGTTTTTTCAGGTACTTAATATTGAACTATTTTTATATGTTGTTCATTATAAACCCAGAACATTGATCTAAAACAGCTTAATTATAGAAATGTGAGCATTGATTTCCAGCTCAAAACTGCAGAATCAAGCAGCGTCGTCTGTGGTATTTCACCAAGCAGCAAATTGTCATTTACATGGTTTTATTTTTGAAAAGTGGCTATATGATATTTTAGAACCTTCACATTGAAATTTATAATAATTGCAACTAGTACAGGAATGTGGGTGGACGTAGGTGGTAGGTGAAAACAGTTGATTTTGCACTATATGCCTCATTTACAGGTCCTATATTACGCAAAACTGACTCTTGTGAGTTTTGTCATAATATTACCTCCTCAAAAACATATGTGGAGTTATGTTTTGTGCCATTCACACATGTTTGAGTAATCCTATATTATTAATCTGACGTAATGAAGCCATAGTTTTCAACTTAACCACTACCTTTTATCTTTAGTTCAGTAGAGAATGGCAATTCCAGGGCAGAAATGATCCAGATGATTCTAATGAATATGTATGGAGTTTAAAAACACAGTGGAGCACTTCCAGTATAAACACATGACATCTCAATGTGGAAAAGAGTCTTTTCTCTTTGGGGTTGTGTGGTAAACATGTGTGAATGAAACAAAACACAACTCTAGGTATGTTTGCGATAAGCAAACAACATTATAACATAGATCAGAAAATATCTCAATTTGGGCCTGTAACTACTTTGATCCATCCAAAACTATTGTCATTATAATCCACATCCAGGCAAACATATAGGTACAAACATTATAATATGCCAAAGCAGATGTGTTGCTGTGGGTCAGTGTGGTGAAATAGAGGGCTGACATATCACACAGAGGGGCTGTGTGTGTGGTTGGCCCCAAATTGATTTACATTTAATTGAAGTCACTTAATGGTCTGAAGTGAAGGCTAATCCCCCATGTGGGTCTCCACTTCCTCCCAACACAAAGCTACAACCAACAACCGCACTGAATAATATGACTTTACATGACTTGGAAGGAAAATGCTCATTGTGTAATATCAGTTTCAGTACCACAATGATAATAATTTTAAGAAATATATTTGTTTTAGGGAACACAATATAATTATCAACACAAATTAATAGTCTCCCAATTCCACATGGTCCTATATAATTCTGATATATAAAGACAATTTTAATAATATTTAGTAGAGTTTCAACTGTGTTGTATTTATGTGTTTGTTTCAGTATTGACACTAGATAAGAGAATAATATCTGAACTGATCTGTACTTTTGGCAATCCTCTGCCATGGGCAAAACACACAAAATGCACTACAATACCATTGTTTGAGAGGCTGCTCTGCAAAATTATTATGTTTTGCCATTTATAACTTCACATATGTCTTAAAAGATATTTTTGATAGTCTAATTTTGAATATATCTCAATTTAATTTTATTTTTTTTAATGATCAATATTTATATATATTTAAATATGTCCCATACTCTACCATTGTATCGACAGCTGACTTATGCTGTGACTTGTCTTCTATGTTGAGTTTATCTTTATCTTATGGCTCCACTGTTCACACCTGGTATATACCTTGATCAGCAAATTGTATGTTATTATATTAGTAAAGATTGAATGCCTATAAGAATGTGGGTTCTCCAGTTTGAGAGTTTGAGAAGTGTAGTCCCAATCAGAGAGAGCCCCCCCCCCGTCGCGTGCTCCTGAAAGACTTGTGTATTCTGTCATCGCTTCCTTGTTAGCAGCTCTGTGGAGTGACAGAGTGAGGTTTGAGCTCCTGCTAGCCAGCTCCCACAGCTGTTCTGAGACCAAGAGAAGAAGCCAATATTACCTGTTAAATGTGCATTGGACCTGGGATTATGAGACTTTTACTGAGTGGTAAGCCCCAGCATTTATGCAGTCCAAAGCACTTTGGTCTGGTTAGTGCTGTTCATATATGTTAAAGACCAATATAAAGAAGTGAAGACCCACTTAGTGCCTTACATGTGTTTTTAGTTCATTGGGCTATGACTTAAGTTAAAAGAGAGCACATCACAATATTCACTGATTTCCCATTACAAATAACAGGCATTTCCAATACTAGAACAATGTTAAGTGAGTTTTGTATTAACATGGTGTTATTCTTTCTTGACAGACATCATGTCCACTATGTGATCCCATATGACGGGGACCACTCGCTCGTGGACTCTTCAGAGAACTACTTTGTCAGTGACAGTGTGACCAAGCAGGAGATGGACCTGATGCTGGGTCTTCTGCTGGGCTTCTGCATCAGCTGGCTGCTGTTGTGGCTGGACGGGGTGCTACACTGTGCCGTCCGTGCCTGGAGGTCTAGTCGCTACTACGGTAAGACCCACACACAAGGTCACACAACAACTATAAACCCAAAAACATACAACTACTATAAAATCCAACGCACAACATCACACAATATCAACTTTTACAAAGCACTGAGATCTCTGAGGCAGACCAGTTGCCTTTTGATTGAGAATATAAGAGACAACCATATCTAGTTGTTTCACTTGATATCACTTTTCTGAAATTAAGAACATCACATTGTTAAAATTATTTTGCTTGGTTACAGGCTACAGGTTACAGAATGACTCCCCATTGTTAGATAGTCATAGAAAGCTAGAAAAAGAAATGTTCAGGGTTCAAGGAAATCCAACATATATTCAATGTTGGTTTAAAGCATTAGTCAATAGATAATGGCAGCAGCTGAATGTATAAGTGTCCCATACAACATGGAGGATGACACAGATGATATTTTGCACATACTCCTGATATTGCTTGTGCAACTTCTTAAAATCTCAATCTTAACACTACATCTGGAGTGTGTGTGCTTCAGTCAGGTGCTCTGTACAGAGGACTGCAGTAAGGAGGTATATGAGGTACAGTATAGGTGGTTAATCATAAATCAAACACTGATACTCCCTTCATTATACTGTCTGTAGACACATCTGCCCTTTGTGTTTCACAGGTTACCCGAGTATTTCTAGAGCTGTACCATGGATATTATTTACTTATATATATATATCCACATAAATGATGATCACAAACAAGCCATTTAAATCCCCAAATCAACAAGTTATTTTTTTAAAGCAGCAAAGAGTAACATTTGGCACATTCATTTGTTTGTTGAAGCAGGGACGTGTTTTGAATATAGTTCAAGAGAAAAGAAAGCAAACTGTTTTCTTAAAATAGTTATACATGCTTCCATCTTATATAAGATTAAGAGAGAATATTTACAGGAGATGCATGGATGAGCACACATTATTAGAAAAGGTGTATTAGATGTAGCTGTTGTGCACTAATGGTCAGTAGGAAGGAGACTGCAAGAGGAGATAAGGGAGGAAGTGTGCCAGTGAAGGAGAGAAGGTCACACAGAGGGACAGAGCAGCCACCTGCTGGGCTCACCTCCACACGCACACTCACACACGCGCTTACACACACAAATGCACACACACATGTTCTGAATGCACAAACATGAAGAGGAGAGGAAGGGAGGGCTGATGAGGGATATGATTGCGTCTCTAATTTATCATATAAACAGGGGCTCTGCTGTTATGAAGTTTATTTACCTAGTTGGTGGCCTGATTCAAACTTCAACCGTAGTGTATTGTCATAGTGTATTTGGGCAAGGCACTTTATCCACCTTACCAGTATATATACTACTGGGTGTGGTCTGAGGGGCACAGGGCATAGATTGGCATCGGGTCTTCTGCCTACCCCAGGGCAGCTGTGGCTACAAGAGAGGCTTGTCATCAGATTTCAGATGTGGAGTGAATGAATAATGCATTGTAAAGTGGCGTGTAGTGTCCATAAAGTGCTGTAGAACTGTAATACAATATATACCCTGAGGATCTAATGGGCCCATGTATAGAGAAACACTTGTCTTTACCAACAGAGCTACAGTGCAAAGGTTTCAGTAAAAGTATTTAACTTTTGCATATTTGTTTCAAGTCTATTCTAAAACCCGGGAGCATTACCAACATGTAAGTATTTCAACATGGATCTTTAATATTGGCTTCTCAATTTAAAAAGTGAGTTATTCATTGTTTTATTCACATTAAGTAATCACATGTTCTTGCTGAAGCTTACTCTACAAACAGCTCCATCTCCTCCCAAACCCGGCCACTGAACTAATCAGTCAACAAGATTTCTACACCTATTTATTTATATCGATACTATACAGTGACATCACGCCGGGGGTGTTATACATGTATCTCTATTGACTGAATGTTCAACAATTTCCATGGTGACATAATGCTTACAAAGCCAAAAATATTTGAATATAGTCTGAAAACTCAAGAAAAAATACTAAATGGATTTAAACAACACATTTTCAGGACCCTGTGATCAATACGATCGCTCATGGTTCTGTTTAGGACTTTGATTTTCAACGAAAAGGTGAAAGTGACTAACTGAAAAACTGTTGGCTAATACTTGTGACTGTCATTTTATGTGTGACAGACTTGTTTAAGCACACAAATCATCTCTTTCTGGTCAGATTGTGTTCAAATAAAGCTCAGATTAAGTCTAACTTGAGTAACAGAGCTTCAGACGGAGCAGTGCTTTTAGCTAGTGTCACACCTTCAGGGAATGTTGATGACATCAGCTGTGAATCCATAGCTTTTGCCAGTAATATTAAATATGTATTACATGTAAACTGCTTTTAATTTGTAAAATGTGCACTCCTGTGTTAAAGGCCCATCTCACCATATTGAGGATTTGTACTACTAAAACGTAATTTGGTAAAAAGTAACATAATCATTATTAAGTTGCTAATAGTGTTTTATGGCATGTGTTTATATATTTCCAATCACTCCATGCACCACTGGCCCTCTGATGACAGGGCACTTGGGATCCTTATGAAGCCTTCTCACTACTGTCAGCAGTATTCAGGCTCATTAGCATTAGTGTTAGCCTAGCCCATATAGAACTGGAAAATTGACCTAAAATTATATAGATCGATGGCAGGATTGACAGGTTGAGGGGATGGTGGTAATTTGGTGCTGTTCCTTTGAGAATCGTAATTAGTTTAGGAAGCCTGTTCTCATTACTGTCAGCTCAGTGCGTCTTGTCCTGCCAGCACCAGGGACAATGTAGGCCTACACCAAGCAATCAGAGAAATACTGAAGGAATGAAATGTGATATGACTTGTATTTACGGGGATGTTAAGCCTCCTGTTATATGCAACATATTTGTAATTGCTATAGCAACTTTCCTAATTTTCCATTAATCTGAAACCTGACTCTAAATGTGTTCACACGATATCACCATATCCTAGAATGTATTTTAAATTGAGATGGAAGACAGGTGAGAATTCTATGATAAAACTTGCCTTTAATTGTCAAAATGCAGATGTTTGTCTTTGTTTATAGTTAATATCTCGATCTGGGGTCTATCCACATAAAACAAAAACCTGCACAAAGTTAAGTGTTTTCGCCGTCCGAACAAATAAACAAAAGTTAAATAATTTTTCAGAATAGCTTTAGAAAGTGGTGCCATTGTTCAACTCCAAGACATGTATGATAGCTGAAAGGACTTAAAGCCACCAAATAATATGCAGTTCGTGGAGCCAGTTCCTGACAAAAATCAACACTGTAGATCATAAGTTTAGATTTTTCTTGTTGTTATTTAGTAAGCTGGGGGTCGCAAGATGATTTCAAGATAAAATTTTGAAATTATGACAGTGTATTTCATCAGTTATTTTATATAAAATGGTATATTTTTGTTAAATTTGGTCCAACAGCACTATTAACTAATTAACAACATTAAAGCCTGATGCAACACATTTTGACCCTTGAAATAATTATTGCTTTAAATTTTATTCTGATATAAGCCACTGCACTCCTTCTGAAATTATAACGTCATCAAATTCTGGAAGGTAGTAGTGTTATTCACAGTAACTGCAGAAGTAACAAGGAATAGTTATACATAAGAGATGAAACTACAGCATTAATAGCTGCAGGTATATTGCAATAGTAGTAGTACTAGTAGTAGTAGTAGAAGTAGTGGAAATAGTCTAAGGGGTGTAGTAGTTATAGCTGTAGCAACTGCTGTTATTGGAGCTGGAGTATTCAGCCAAACACAACTTCAAATCTACATAAAACAGGTCTTTATTGAGGCCATATGAATGCATGGAGTTTAACCTTCAGTCATTGTTGTCTCCCTGGGTTCTGATGCAACACATTTTGACCCTTGAAATAATTATTGCTTTAAATTTTATTCAGATATAGGCCACTGCCCTCCTTCTGAAATTATAACATCATCAAATTCTGAAAGGTGAACACATTCTATAAAATATATCACTAGAACAGCTTTACTGAGGCCATATGAATGCATGGAGTCTAACCTTCAGTCACTGTTGTCTCCCTGGGGTCTGACTGGAGCATATGTGCGTTCGTTTTGCTTTATTTCACTAACAACATTACTGCTGCGCTACTTGAGAAAAACATGTTCTGTTGTATTGTCACATCACAATGGTGCATGGCGAAACAGGGGGTGTGTTCAAAGTGTTATGTTGCTAAAAGTAGCTGAAAAGTGGAAAAAAGGTAAACAAACAAATACACTGTGATGATAAGAATTTCTCTGGATAACTTTGTAAACACTTAATTGCAATTATTTCCTCATTTTTTACCTATAAATATTAAGTATAAATTGAACTATTTGGACAAGAAACAAAGACACAAGGCTGTTATCTTGTCCAGTGAGATCAGTATGTTTACTAGAACATGTACCCTTGACTTAATGAGACTTGATAGAGACCATTCTCTCATGTCAGATCTTTGTCATTAATTAGTTGTCATCATAATCACAGATAAATACTTTTGATGGAGTGTCCTTAGATAGCTTTTGTTTTGAGGTATTATTATAAGGTAGGTCAATACTTTTAAATCTTTATTTGTTTTTGAGATCATTATGACAACAAACACACATAGGCAAGACAAGTTTATTTGTATAGCACAATTCGTACACAAGTAATTCAAAGTGCTTTACAGAATAAGAAATATATTAAAATCACAATGCAAATAAATCAAAACAGAGATAAGCATAAAATTTACAACATTAAAAGAGAAGAGTGCAGAATAAAAGCTTTCACTCATATGCACAGATAAAAAGAATAGTTTTTAGCCTGGATTTAAAGAAAAAAAAATTAAAGTATACCTAAGTCACAATGTATTCTGAGTGATAAGTTATGGTAGGACCAGGCCGTTGCAGTGGAGTTGCCCTGGATGGTGCTCTGATTTCGAAGAAAAGTAGGTGAAGTGTGACCTGGAAACTGGCTCCGCTGCTGAAAACTCCTCTGGCAACGACTGACAAGTAAGACGCAACAATTATAT